GAGGTCCTTTTATCCCCACGTTCGGCCGCGGCTGGAATCCCGGGGCCAGTTCTGGAGGCCACAGTTCAAGGAGGCAGCTGATGAATTGGAGAGGGCTCCGAGAAGAGCCACGGGAATGTTTAAAGGATTAGAAAACCTGCCTTCTAGTGACAGACTCCAGGAGCTCCATCTAGCTTAGCAAAGGGAGGGTTAAGGGGTGACTTGATTACAGTCTGTAAGCACCTACCGGGGGAACAGATATTTAATATCGGGGCCCAGCCACCACTCACTGCTCATGTTTCATTTCCCCCCATCACTGGATGTCTCACTGATCTGCCCCCCCAGCCTGTCCCGTCATCTCAACTGTGCCTGATGTGCAGACATGGTGCGTGCTCCAGGGTGGCAGGGATGCCGGCAGCTGTTGGTGCCTTACGTGTCATGTCTCTGGCCAGTCCTGAGATGACTCCAGAAATTCACCCTCTGGTTGAACATTAACCCACAGAGAGATCCAGGACCGAATGTGCCCAGGGAATGGGGGGGTGACGCGTCTGCTCTGTGCACGGAGGACGTCTGTCAGTCCGTCACTGAATTCACTGGGGAAGAACCAAGGCACGGAGGCTGCGATGCTGCTTGGTATGGAGGGAGGCAATGCAGAAAGGCCTCGCCATAAAATAATGTGGAGGAAAGGTCAATGTGCCAAACCTTAGCTGGGTGGGTGCATGCCTAGGGGGCTGCCTGTCGTTTCCCCTCTGTTTAATCTCAGGCAGATTGCACTTCCCTCTTCGCCGTCTCCTTCCACTGGGCATTATTCCGCCCTGCTGGCCTGCCTGAGTGCTGATGAAGTCCTGCCTAATGCAGAGCAGACAAGTTCCATCTCGTTAAAGGCCGTGGTCCTCTCTTTTCAGCTTCCAGCCCTTGCAGTGGCTCTATCATCCTGCACAAGCTCCCCTGCGCCGCAGCCTGTGTGCAAGCTGAAGTGGTTTAATGCATACAGATAGCATCTGCAATGACACCAGCTAGGATGAAATGCCCAAGGGCTCTACTGCGGGGGTCAGGCAGGAGACTTCCCCCCGGGCTGGGCTGCCGGTTTCATTGCTTCTAGTCTCATGCACTTAGTCCATGGGTCTGGCAGAGCCCTGTCTATGGCTATAGCCAGCCACAGTTGGGTTTTCCAGCTCCTGGGCATTCCAAGAAGCAGGCTGTCAGGCCCCTGACCCCATCTGGAAACGAATGACAGGGGTGTTTGTTCCTTTCAGAGGGCTAATAGAGACAGGAGCAGATGAAAGGTTTAAATTCTGGTGCATCAGCATCATACCCGTGGGTCTCTTAACAAACCTTCCCCTTCCCCCTGGGAGCTGGCAGTCTCTCTCCAGCTGGTTTGGAGCATTGCCAGGCCAGGGGCATGCTGAGTAATCTCCAGTTTTCTCCATTTCCTTTTTCAACCAGCTTTTCTGTTTCTCTTTCAGGTGCGAGGAAAGAGTTTGCTGAGCCACTTCCCTTTAACTCTGGTTTTCCTGGCGCGGGGGTTGGCAGGGGGATAAGAAATGCATGTTTGTTTACAGGAATCTCCAGGGAAATGGCTGTGTTGAGTCTTTGTGCAGTTGGGTTGAGCTGTTTCTCTGGTGCAATCTGCAAACCCCTCGTTGTGTGGCCCTGCACGCGGGGAAATGGCTCTGCCTGTTTTAACCCTCCTGAGAGCCGAACGCTGCCTGCACAGGGCTGCTTTCCTCAGTGGCGGAGCACGCCCCCAGCGTGACCCACTTTGAAACTCCTTCAAATCCAGCGGAAATTCTCTGCGCCAGTGTGACCCATTTGTTAAATCTCTTCGCTTGCTGCTGAGAGATCTGTTTGCAGACCCCAAGTGGGGCTCACTTTACATAACATGGGTGGGCTCCCCTCTCCCGGCTCTCCAGCAAACATCACAGCGTGGGGCCCAGAGTTGGGCGCTTTGACATCATCTGTGCGCAAAGAGAGCTGCCTTCCCTTCCGCTCCCTCAGACCCAGGGCTAGAGGCAAGGGGGGGTTTCCAGGCTTCTAAGACCATGGAACTGCCGAGCGAGTCGCTGACTGGGCCTTGGAAAGCGTAGGGAGCGACTCCCCAGGTGCAATAAACACAGGTCTCAGGGAAGGCCAGCGGATGAGGAACTTGGGGCCTTGTGTTGTCACTTCCCAATGGCTCCTAGGTCCGTGTTTTCCCAGACATTCCCTAAGGGCTGGATTCAGCTCCCCCTATGTGCACGGGCATGTGCCTGCCTCCATGGGCAGTCCATGTGTAACACCGACAGACCCCGGGCTTCGGGATTGAACCGGGGAGCTCTGGAGCTTAGTGCACGAGTCTACAGCCCTGTTAGCTAGGGCTGTAGAGCAGACTCATTTAACTCTCCTTAAGTGGTCTCGGTGCCACTAGAGGGGACAGACCTCCCCCACCCCTCCGAGGCGTGTGAGTTACACCTGCAGTCAGGGAGGGGCTGCTTCATGTGAGTCGGGGGGGCAGCACTGAGGTCACTGGGTCGTGACTTGCTGCGCTTATTCAAAGCCCATCCCGGGGGACCGGGGCCCTGCTGCCCTGGCCAACCACAAGCAGGGTCCAGCCCCCCTTTACTTTGGGGGCACTGGCATCCCATCCCCTAAGCAAAGTCAAGCAGCTCAGAGCATTGGGAAGAGCGCTGGCAGCTGGCCTGCAGAGATGTCCCGGCTGGCACCCTCCCTCAGCCCATTGCAGCCGCCTTCCGAGCCTCCGTATGGGGAATTCACAAGTCCTGAGGCTCCCTGGCCAGGTGTCGGGCTCGCTCAGTGCTCGGAGGGCCGCCAGGGCAATGGGCTTTGCTGCCATTCACTGACCACCCTGCTCTCTGTGGTGGAGGGGCCAGGCCCCAGCGGGGCTCCCCGGCTCCTCTCCAAGGCCTCTCCCAGTGGTGCCCACCCCGAGAGCACACAGGGCTCAGCTCCACCAGTGCAAATAGCGGCTCTGCCCGTCTAGCAAAGTGTGTGAGGGTCAGGGCAGCCCCCTGCCCAGCCTGGAGCCCCCAGTGCAGACCAAGCCTGGCCCAGGGGGAGGGGGCAGGGTCTGTAGCAAGGTTCCCAATTCTGGAAAGGGTCTGTGCGTCCCCGAGCAATGGCCCGGCCCGCTGGCTATGTGCTAGTCAGGATACAGTTCGCGAGAGACTCCAGCCTTCGACGTCTGTCTCTCTCCCGTCTCCTTGCCGTGCCAGGAGGCTGGCTTGGTGAGACCATTAAGCTCCGTCGTCCCTGCAGTGATGCTGAGCTGCCTTCTCCCAAATCCGACCTGGCAGCAGCTTCCCACCAGCTGTGGGGGGACACGGGCTCTGGCTCCGGGGTGACCAGTGAATGTCCGAGGGTGGGGAGAGTCCTACTTCCACAGGTGTTTGCTGCTCCGGGGGGGGGGGGAAGCGTGGCAGGGAGCCGGGCTAGGGCTGGGCCGTGTCAGCCCCCGTTTGTCTGGCCGAGGGGTCGCCGCAGAGCTGCGGCTGGTGAATTCTAGCACGGTGGCTCGTAGTGATGGGACAGAGGTCTCGGGTCCCTTGTGGGCCATTCACCCAGCTAGCGTCATTCCCAGTTCCAAATGCCTGTGCCCCCCTCCCCCGAACATATGTTGTGGGGCTGGCGGTGGCAGCTGCCCCGTGGCTGAGAACCGGGTATGAAACGTTCTGGAGCAGGCACGGCCCAGGAGGCGCCCGCCTTGGGTCTGATTCCTGCTACTCGACGGCTCCTCATCCTCTCCCCATGTAAAAACGCTGCCCGGGGCACCGTCAGCCCCTTTCCCATGGCCCGTCTCGGACGCCTGCAGAGTGTAGCCTGGGAGCCAGTAACGGGGCTGGGGACTGCGCTGCATTGCCTCTGTGTGCAGCTCCATTGCAGCCGGCTGCACCCTGCCGTGCTCCCCACAGCCCCGGGGAACCCCCTCCTCCATGCGTTTCTCCCTCATGCACCCCTGGGGCTGAGCTCAGAGTGGGGCCCACCGGCGACTGAGGAAATAACCACTGGGAGTGTAGACTCAGCAGTGGTTTACCAGCTGCGCGTCTGTTCGGCACACGCCTGCCATTATTGGCTGAGTCTCGTCTTGTACCCCTTGCTGAGTGAGGGGTTAGCTTTGCTGAGGGGCTGTTGCGTGTGGATAGCTCCCAAGGGGTCCTTACAAATGTGTTCCCTGCGTGTTGGCCAAGGTGTGATAGAGGGTCCAGTACCCGCTCGGCCGCCGGGGCTGGGCGCGCTCTCCCTAAGCAACGGACTTAAAATAACCAGAGAGGCTGGTTGCCTTGCTGTTCTGTGCGAGTCCCGGGGACCCCTGCCCTCTGGTCAGCAGGGAGGGCACCAGTGCTGTGTGGTGGGGAGAGGAGCGGTTGCAGACCACGTTGTGGTCTTCCAATGCAGTGGGTCCCAGCTGCCCTGGAACTTCATGCCAAGGCCGCATCTCCTCCCTGGGCCTGTGATGCCCATGGGCGCAGTGCCTGGCACTACCGAGGCTGGGAGGCTGCCCCCAGGAGGCCAGTGGGGTTGGTCAGCAGAAGGGGGCAGAGGGGCGGTGCAGTGGTTCCGTGCTATGCCCAGCCAGACTCCTTTGGTCACCACAGTGATGCCAGCCTGAGATTGGCAAAGAGTCCTGGGGCACCTTATAGACTAACAGACGTAGTGGAGCACAAGCTTTCGTGGGTGAATACACACTTCGTCGGATGCATGTAGTGGAAATTCCCAGAGGCAGGGATAACCATGCAAGCACGAATCAGGCTAGGGATAAGGAGGTTAGTCTGCTCAGGGAGGATGAGGTGTGAACGCCAAGGGAGGAGGGAGGAGAAACTGCTTTGTTTCTCCTCCCTTGGCGTTCACACCTCAACTGCTAGAAGAGGGCCTCATGCTCCCTGATCGGACTAACCTTGTTACCCCTAGCCTGATTCTTGCTTGCATAGTTATCCCTGCCTCCCGGGTGCGTGTCTGGGTGAGACTGCCCTGGTCCCCGCTGCTACACCCCTTCTCACCGCCGCTCTCTTTGCTCTGCTCCAAAGGGTCCCGAGGGTCTGACAGCCCGTCGCATCTGTCGCCGTCGCAGGGCGGATCCGCTGCCATGCCGGCTCCTGTGGAAGAGATCTGGGTGCTGCGCAAACCCTTTGCAGGTACAGCCGCCTTCGCATCAGTCTGTGCGTACGCGGGCTCGTCACCGGATCCCGCGTCCTGGGAGCTGCTTCTCCAGCCCCACGCTGACGGCTACTGCTGCCTGGTGGCAGGCTGGTGTTCTCCTGGACTCGCCTGGGGTGGCACTCGTCAGCCGACGGGAGGCTCCGAAACACCAGTGTGAAGCTGCTGCTGGGGCCTCAAAGCCAGGCCACGCCCGCAGCAGGGGTTCTCCGCGGCGTGCGGAGAAGTGCCCTGCCATCGCCCGCCACCTAACTCTCCCTCCCCGTTGGCAGGTGGGGACCGCAGCAGCCTGGGGAGCACGGGGAGCGTGGCCAGTGCCCGGAGCTCGGGGAGCGGGCAGAGTACGGGAAGTGGCAGCCATGCCCTGCATGCTGGCTCCGAAGGGGTCAAGGTAAGGGCAGCTGGGTATGCTTAGGCAGCAGGTGACCCTTGGCCCCTGTCCCCGCAGGGAGCCGGCAGTGGAGTGAGGTGATCTCCCGTCCTCCCCTACCATGGAGACGCTCTCAGCATATGCACCTGGTGTAACGAGACCAGCCAGTCCCTCCCCAGGTGCCAGATGGCCCAGAGCGCTCCAGCCCTCTGGCCCGCCCCGTGCTCTGCTCCATGTACGCTGGGCACATTCCTGCCCTTCGCTCAGTCAGGCCTGCCCGGGGCTGGTTTTTCCTGCCCTCCGCCCGCTGCCGGGCTGCTGTGTTTGGGTCCCCAGCCCAGCAGGGAGTGGGATGACAGGGCAGACGCTAGGCCCTGCACATCCATTGCTCTCTGCTGCAGCCCGCTGTGGGCCTGGGGGTCGGGCGCAGCTCTGTCTGCTCTGTCGCAGCTCTGTCTGTCCCCTAATGGGCTTTGGGCACTCCAGCGCCATTCTGGCCCTCCACCCCACTGGCCTGCCTGGGGCGGGACCGGCAGACCCTGCCCTTCTCTGAGGCTGTCCACTGGGAGTGGCACCAGGGCTGACTTTGGGGGTAGGAGATCCATCCTTTGCGGGCTGCTCTGTCCTTCCCTCCCCTGCACCTCCTCCATGGGGCAGAGGGTCCCCAGGCTGCTGCTGCAGCTGGCTGGGCTCTGCTGCCCCTACTCAGCCACACAGCCCCTGGCTCCAGACGCCTGCCCTCCTCCCGGTGCTCTGGAACCACCAGGCCAGGGGGCCATGCTCTGCTCCTCTTCCTGGCTAATCAGGCCGAGCCCCCCCCCCCCGCCCCCCGCTGCTCCCCATGGCTACGGGGGGCTGGGGCTAGGTGTGCGTGAGGCTGGAATTGGGGTGTCCCGGATGGAGCTGCGGCTCCTGCCATCCCTTGCTGGAGGCGAAGCACCATCTGTGCTGTGAGCTGTGTTCTCACTCACTCCCTGCTGCATCCAAAATCCGCTGCGCCCCTCCCTGCCCGCCCGCGCCTCCGGCTCCGGCTGCCGCAGCGTTAGCAACACAGTCTCTGGCTCCTGACGGCCCCCCCCCCATTTTTTACCCTTGGTGGTGTATTTTTTCAGCTGCTGGCGACGGTCCTGTCCCAGAAGGCATCGGTGCAAGAGTCTGTGGTGGGTGATGCGCCGGCCAAGGCCCTGGAGGCGCCTGCAGGTGCGTGGCTGGTGGCTGCCTGGCCGCTCGGAGCAGGGCTGACCCTTGGTACCTACGAGGGTTTGGCGTTGATTTTTTTGCTCCTGTTGCCCAAGAGGAAAGTGCGTGGGTAAAATGACGCTCTCGCCTTTCTGCTGCTGCCAGGCCTTCTCCTGCTTCGGTTAGTCGGGGGCCAGGGGGCTGGGGAGGGCGAGGGTGCATCCTGGTGTGTGCTCCACCTCCAGGCTGTTGGTCTGGCCATGCTCCAGGCCAACCGAGGGAGCGAGGTGCTGCCCGCGGCCTGCAGGCTCGGCGCTGCTGCCAGGGCCATCTGTTGGTCGCTGGTCCCTGCGTGCCAAAGCAGCATTGTGTGTGGAGTGTGTGTGTGTGTGATCGGTGTGTGCACGTGCATGATTGAGGTGTGTGTGTGATTGGTGTAGAGTGTGTGTGTGTGTGATCGGTGTGTGCGTGTGCATGATTGAGGTGCGTGTGTGATTGGTGTGGGGTGTGTGTGTGTCCGTGTGGGGTTGGGGGTGGGGTGTGTGTATGACTGGTGTTTGTGTGTGTGTGATCGGTGTGTGCACGTGCATGATTGAGGTGCGTGTGTGATTGGTGTGGAGTGTGTGTGTGTGTGTGTGATCGGTGTGTGCACGTGCATGATTGAGGTGCGTGTGTGATTGGTGTGGGGTGTGTGTGTGTCCGTGTGGGGTTGGGGGTGGGGTGTGTGTATGACTGGTGGTTGTGTGTGTGTGATTTGTGCGTGAGTGTGTGTAGTATGTGGGGTATGTGTGTGCGTGGGATGGGTGTTGGGGAGGTGCATGGTTGGGGTGTGCATGTGTGTGTGATTGGTGGCTGTGTGCCCTGTGGTTGATGTGTGTGTGTGTGTGTGTGTGTGATTGGTGTGTGGGCTGTGTGTGCATGCATGGGGGGCTGGGGCATGTGGGGTGTGTGTATAGTTGGTGTATGTGTGTGGAAGGCAGTGTGTGTGGGGGGGGTTGCATGTGTGTGGGGGGTTGAGGTGTGTGTGTGATTGATTGGTGTGAGCGTGTGCATGTGATTGGTGTGTGTGGCATGGTGGTGTGTGTCTATACGATTGGTGTGGATGGGGGGTTGGGGTGAGTATAATGGGTGGAGGGGTTGGGGGGGTGTGGTTGGGTGTGTGCGTGTGTGGTTGAGGTATGTGTGCATGGTGTGTGCGTGTGTACAGTTGGGGTGGGGGATGGTTGGTGTGTGTGTGTGTGTATGTGGTGGGGGGGGATGATTGGTAGGTGGGGGGGTTGCTGCTCACCTCCATGCTGGTTGCATCCATTTTACCAGCCCGATTGAAAAGTGTTTACCTTGGGCTGCAGGCTCCCCGGAGGGCTGGGAACTCACCCAGGGGCTGGGAACTTGGCCCAGCCGGCAGCATTGTGTCAAACAGCTCGAGCCGGGAAAGCACAAACGCCCGTCACTAAACCATGAGACCGAGCGGTGTGAGTTCTCAGCCAGGCCCCGGGAGCCAGTCACTTAGCCAGGCTCCCACGGCCGGCTGCTGGCAGGCAGGGGGAGGGGGGAGCAGCCCTAAGCCGAATGCCGTAATCCCTGTGGGTCCAAGCCGCTCCCTCCTCTGGACCTGGAGCTCGCCGCTGAGGAAAGACCTAGGCTGGGTGTGCTGAGCAGAGGGCCCAGCGGGGCACCGCCGTGGTGACGGGGCTGGAGAAGGGCCAGTTTCCAGTCGGAACGTCCTGGCCTTTGCACTCTGGTCCAGGGCCCATGTCCAAAAAGCAGCGTCAGACCCGGGGCCATTCTAGGTCTGATACGCCGCTATCCCCAGGGTGGAAGGCGGGGGCACTGCACCCATGGCAGGCCGGCACCCTGGCGTTTGTAGGGTTAATGTCTCGTCCTGACATGCCCTAGGACAGTGACAAAAAGTGGCACATGATGTTAAGCCACCGTGTGATTGGTGAATAGCTTCGATTGGTTAATAATTCCATCAGGAGGCTTTTACTGTGTTATTAACCAATTGCAGTGGATAAAGTAATAATGCTCGGGCAGTCGCTCTGCTGTGAGAACCTGGAGGAGCGGAGCGAGTGGGACACTGAATTCACACGGCTGTGGCTCTTCTGGGAATGTTGGTGGCTACTTCGGCTCCTGCCCCTCTGAGGTCTGAGCATGGCTGCCCTAGGATGTGGGACAGGAAATAGAGCGGTGGGTGGTCCAGACCGCGTCATGCTGTTCCACTTGAGTCCTGATGGTTGCCTCACTGAAAGCCACACAGGCTACTCACCGCTGGTGCATCGCAGCCCGAGGGGCTAGGGATGCCAGTGCCCCAGTGGCAGGAAGCGGGCCCGAGACCCCCTAAGAGACACAGCCCCGGCGTGCATGCAGACACCCCTAACAAAGTTCAGAGGAGTGTGAGATCATACAGAAAAGCCGCACTCTGCTCTCACTCTAGATCTCCCGATTCATGGGAGGATCTCCAAGCACCGCATAGACATGAATGGGCTATACAGGAAAGGTGCCCATTGGTGAAATGCAGCCACTACTGGGGAGGAGCTTGGCAGCAACACTGGACAACAATTTAGGACAAGTGAGAAAGAGTGTTCCTCATCCAGTTGGACCTACAGGGGAACTGGGCCACCCGTACTGCCCAGGAGTCAGAACCCCCAGGCTAACACCCCAGACAGAAGTGCCATGGGGTCTTTAATGTCTACATCCTGCGAGGCCTCTGCAGGGCCTGCCAGTGCAGCGTTCCCAGCTGCTCTGACCGCTCCCTTTGGCTGCTTTGCAACAGGTTCTTCTCGGACTCAGAGCCTGGCCAGCTCTGCCTACGCCGGGCAGCCACCCGCTGAGCAGCAGCTGAAGAAGATAGAGCCAATGTCAGAAGGGAAGGTAAGAAGGCGGGAACCACCTGGCAGCTGATTGAATCCAGCCAGAAGGGGGAACGGGCCTTTAAAAAGAAATAACGCCCACCTGCCAGGCTTGCTCGGTGCGAGGGAAGGGACTGGCAGCCCAGGGTCACAGCTCAGATCGCCCGGCCCCATCCAGCAACGATGGGCCGGCTTGTCCTGGCTCAGAGGCAGCTCGATTTTAGCTATCAGTCATCCCTTTTCCGGCGAGTGGTGGAGAGAGCTACCCCCTGCCCTCCGAGGAGGGCGCTGAGGCGCTCGCTCTGTCCCGCCACCTGCGTAGGGTGGCCAACTTTCTAATCGCACAAACCTGAACAGCCTTGCCCAGCTCCTGCCCGCCCCTTTCCCAAGGCCCCACCCCTGCCCCGCCCCTTCTCTGAGGCCACGCCCCTGCTCACTGCATCCCCCCTCCCTCTGTCACTCGCTCTTCCCCACCCTCACTCACTTTGACCGGGCTGGGACGGGGTTGGGGTGTGTGCGGGGTGCAGGAGACGCTTACCTCAGGCGGCTCCTGGAAGCGACCAGCATGTCCAGCTCCTAGGCTCAGAGGCGGCCAGGTGGCTCTGTGCCCTGTCCCTGCCTGCAGGTGCCTCCCCCGCAGCTCCCATTGGCCGAGGTTCGCGGCCAATGGGAGCTGCAGAGTCGGTATTCAGGGCGGGGGCAGTGTGCAGAGACCCCCCGGCTGCCCCTGCTCCTATTGGACATGCCGGTCGCTTCCGGGAGCCATGCGGAGCCAGGGCAGGTAGGGAGCCTGCCTTAGCCCTGCTGCCTGCAGGAGGCGCTGCGTTGAGGGAGTTCTACTCCCTGAGATTCTCCCCCTCCTTAAGTTTCCGAGGCAGGGCCTGTACTTGCCCAGAGTTCGCCCCCTCCCTTTTCCTGGAGGCAGGGTCGTCTCCCTGCAGCCCAGGCCCAGGACCGTGGCCTCAGCTGGGGCACGGTGCAGCAGGAGCTAGCGAGGGCTGCAAGAAGCCGAGGTCCCGGGGGCCGCTCCTGCTGCGTTCTCCCCACTTGAGTTCACGTGCAGTTTGGTGGCCGCCCAGGTGCGGTTTGGGTGTTGCAGGAGCGTGGCTTGTTGTTGACGCTCACCTGGGAGTTATTTATTATTAAAGGCAGTGGCTCCCCTGTCCCAGTCCTGCACGCTGCCCCGCACAGGTGACCCCACTGAGGTCAGGGGTCACCACGCAGATCCATGCAGCGTGGCCAACCCCGAAATGACACAGATCATGAGATTGCAAAATTATATTGTGTTGCGGTCTGTCGTCTGATTTCCCGCCCCCCCCCCCGTCGCCAGGGGGTGTGGGGGGCTCACAGCACTGCCCCCCTCCCAGCTGTGTCCAATGCTGGGATATGGGCTCTCTCTGGGGCGTCCAACTCAGTTCATATCACACAGACCTTTACCAACCGCCGTCTGGGGGTGCGGAGATCCCAGCTTCTCCCCAGCCCCACATTCTCATTCATTATGTGCCCAGCCCCACATCTGCCCTTCCCCCAGCCCAGCAATTCTGCTCCCCAATCCCTACGTCTGCCCCTTTGGCAGCTCGAGAGGTTCTGGTGTTGTGGGGAGGGGGGCAGTTGGACCCATTGCTCACAGCGTGGGGGGCTCTGGAGAGGAAGTGGGCCCTCGGTGTCATTGCCCTGCGAGCAGCTGTCAGTGAGGGAGTGCAGGTGGGGGTCGGGGCTGGCTCTGCGCAGGGCAGGGGGACGCCATGGGCTGGCTGCGTCTCTGCGCTCCGGAGCTCGAGCTTGCCGCGTGCTGGGCTCCGTTGTCTGCAGCCCTCGGCTCAGCCGTCACATCTCGGCAGCGGCACGGCGGGGTCCCCGCCCCGGAACAACCTTCCGGGCGCCCAGGGTGAGAGTCGCACATTGGCTGAGCACCTCAGACAGCTCCCCTCATTGTGCTGCCAGCTGCGGCTCACAGCTCCCCGGGGCGGCGGGGCGCTGCCCGCTGCAAATGAATAGGCTGCCAGGAGCCTGGCGCGATGGGGTGCAGAGAGCGCGTGGGCGGGCAGGGACCTCGGGCGCGCTGGGGAACTGCGGCGTTCTGAAGGGCCTCTCCGAGCTGGGCTGAGTGAGGGGGAGGGAATGCTGCTCGGTCTGTCTCCCTGGTGGGGTGATTCGTGGGGCTGGTGATGGGGTGAATGACTCGCCTGCCTCCTGCTGTGGGGCCCCAGGGAAAAAGGGGACCATCTGGCAAATCTCCTACAGGCTCCTTCATGTCCCAGGGAGTTCCCCAGGCTCCTGCCCCTCTTCCATATGGGAGAAGCTGGGTTAGGCACCTGTCACAGACTCAGACTCACAGACTCAGATTCCCTGCTAAATCCTGCAGATGGCTGGGCTCTTGCCTCTCCTACCTGTGGGGGTTACAGCCAGGAGCCTCTGGGCTTTGCCTGACTGCAGCTCCCTCTCCCGCAACTGCTGGGTCTAGGGGGGCAGCCCCTGGGGTGGCAGAGTGGGGCCAACCCCCGACTGCTTGGGGCCAGGGAGGACTCTCCTCCCTGTACGAGGATTGGCTGGGTGCAGCCTGGGTTGGCACTGACTGCGCATGCTGCCGTGTCCATGGCACAGCCTGGGCTCGCTTGGCAGAGCCGGTGACCCCCATTCTGTCTCGCCCCCAGAGCTCTGAGGCCGTCTACCAGTGGCTCTGCAAGTTCCAGCTGCAGCTGTACGCGGCCAACTTCATCAACGCCGGGTACGACATCCCCACCATCAGCCGGATGACCCCAGAGGTGAGGGTGGCCGGGAGCCGGGGGGAGCTGAAGGGCGAGGGGCCCGATCCTGCTCCCCTTGAGCTCTCCTGGCACTGGCTCAGGATCAGGCCCAGATAAGCACGCATACCTCCCTTAGGTGAAGGGTGGAGGAGGGGCTGCAGGACGGGCTGGGAGGCCCCTGCCCTGAGCTGCCGTGGCTCTGCCATGTGGGGTGGGACGTAGGGCCTGGATCGAACGGCGAGTCGCGCCGCTCGTGGGCGGCATGCCCAGCTTTGCTGGCTCCCGGCGTTCTAGACGGTAAAAGGGAAGGGGGATCATTCCAGAGCCGGCTGAGTGGTACTGGGGGCTGGGAGCTGTGCAGGGGCTGGGGCAGGTGCCGCGCTCATGGGCAAATCCAGGCTGAGCTACCATCTTTGCAGACGAGTTAAGATCCCCTCTTTGGGGTTTAGCCCCCCAGAGCTGCTGGGACAGGCCCATGTCTCTCCCCTTCCCTGCTCTGCACACACCTGTGGCCGGGCGGGGAGCTGGAGTGTGGGGAGTGCTGGGAGGGGCCAAGGGCGGCTCTGCATGGGGGGCTGGTGCCCCGGCCCAACTCCCTGGGGTAGCCCTCTGCAGCAGCATTACCAGCCCCTGGCGAGCCCTGGGGCTGGGGGCTGGGTGCTCACAGAGTCCGTGGGTGCTGGGCGCTCTCACAGGGGACGCTCCGGGCCTCTCCGAGACGCTGAGTTCCCACAGCTCACGCTGGGGTTGATCGCAGCCCAGCGGCGTCCCACTGAGCTCGGAGCAGCACCCAGTGGGACTTGTCCCAAGCTGCCAGGCGCCAGGCTGGGGCCCCCGTGAGCTGCTGGTGGGGTGGGCTGGGACTGGCCCTGAGGACAGCTCTGAGCGGCTGGGCCCAAGCTCCATCCTGAGGCTCCCAGCCCCTCCACACTCCCCGAGCAGCCTGGTGATGTGGGATGACATGTAGCAGGGCTGCTCCAGCCGCAGCTCTGGGGGCTTTTCCCCGTTCTTGCCAGAACCGGGGGCATGATCCCAGCGGGGTGACTGGGCGGGGACCCCTCAGCCTGCTCTGGGAACACGGGGGCAAGGGAACTAGCCCCTTCTTCCCTGGTCTCCGGACCTAGAGCGGCTTTAGAGAGGCTGACGGTGTGTGTCCTGGCTCCAAAGGATGGCTGAACTCTGCCCTTCCAGCCGGAGTCCGCTGGCATGTGGTGTGTGAGGGGCACAGCATCACCTCCCCAGGCTCACAGCCTCCCTGTTGGGGGAATGCCACGGGACTCAATTCATTCATTCCTAGCAGTGCAACTGCCTCGGGTGGGTGGGGCCCCTCTGCACTGGGTGTGGTGAGTGTATGCACACACACACAAACACGCAATCTCTGCCCTGCAGAGCGTGCCCTTGGTTTTGCCAAGCCAGAGCCTTCCTTTGCACTAGGAGAATGCCATTTGGATTTGTTTCTCATCTCCACGGAGAAGCTCAATGTTTATTGTGGAGCACTTTTTCATTTGTATTGATTTTAAGTTTTTGCAGTTGGGGGGAATTATTGGGTTGGGGGTCAGGCAATGCGGGAGGGGCTCAGACCATAATTATTGAATGACGATAGCTGTTGAAAATTAAAAAAATGAAATTAAAAAATTAAATTTTAAAAAATTAAAACTTCGTCACTGTTAAAACGCCGACACGTCGCATGTCCACATGCACAAAGTCATTAGCCTTGCACTCTAACAAGTTCTCAAGCTGCATTGTTCTCACTTCTCCTGTCTGCCGCTCTCCATGGGGGTCACTGGAAGTATTTTTGTGGGTTTGGGTGTACAGCAAAATCGCCATTTACCGATAAAAACCTCGCCCTTCCGAGCCTGCTCCCACACCCCTTGTAACGGAGAGGAGGCCTGCGGCAGCTGACAGCCTGCGATCTTCTGTGGGGGCTGCCAGAGCTGAGCGGCTAGGCCCTGCTTGTGCAGTGAAGGTGACGGGTGTCTTTCTGTGCCCTAGGACCTCACAGCCATTGGCGTGACGAAACCCGGACACAGGAAGAAGATCACTTCGGAGATCAACAGCCTGAATATCCCCGAGTGGCTTCCGGAATACAAGCCGGTAAGGCTCCCCCAGCTCTCCCCGGTAATGGACCTTGGAACGCTCCCTGCCTGTCAGCTTTGCCCTATTGGCAGGTTTCCCTATGAGGCATGGGGTTGCCAGGCTAACCCCCCCGGGGTGTAGCTAGGCCTCGCCTCTCCTACCCTGAGATGGCCTGTAGCTCTTTAACTGCTGGAGATAGGTGAGGCCCTGGACCCCATCTTCTTGCCATGTGGGGATTGGCCCCCGTGTTGCAGCCTGTTTTGTTTGGGACAGCGTCCCAGTGCAGCGTGAGAAGGGCCCTCTCCTGGCGCATTCGGAGGTTCCAGTCCTCTCCCAGAGAGCAGGGGATGCTGTCCACCCAAGAGAGGAGCTCTGCCTGGATCTCCCCCGAGCTCTGAGCACAGGTCTGGGTCCCTGTCCTGGAAGGGACCCCGGGAAATGGCTCCGGGGTGCTGGGTTGATCGGGATGCCAAGGGAATTTAGGCAGTCTGACGAAACCCCCCCTTGGTGAGACCTCCATTGCTGTGCAGTCCTATCCCATGGGAAGGGGTGGACTAGACTGAACAACGTGCTGGAGAACAGAGCCCAGGCAGGGTCCTGCAGCGAGGCTGAGCTATCTGGGCCCAATTCGCTGCTGTCATGTGCCTTTGGCTCAGGGTATCCTGATAAGCCAGGGGCCCGATTCGCCACGCCTGGCACCTTGGGCGCGGTTCCCAGCAGGGCAAGGCGGGGGCGCAGACTTGAACGCTGGCTCGTAGTGCTGGTGCACACGGATGCACAGGAGACTCGGGCCCCGGGGGCAGGAGCGTCATTGGGCGGATTATAAAGCTCTCAGCTGCATTAACCCCAGGGGAAGGGAGGGGCGTTAATAACAGGCCATGGCATAGGTATTACCCCCACGCTGTCCCTTTAAATGGTGTTGGGTCAGGGCCAAAGCACCGTTCTCCCTTTGCCTCCTGCCCCTGTAGGCCAACCTGGCTCTCTGGCTCTCCATGATCGGCCTGGCCCAGTACTACAAAGTCCTGGTGGAGAACGGCTACGAGAACATCGACTTCATCACGGACATCACGTGGGAGGATCTGCAGGAGATCGGGATCACGAAGCTGGGTAACGCGGGGCCGGGCATTGGCACGGGGCAGCGCCCGCTGCATAGGGTGGCAGGTCTTCGTGGCATCCTCCTGGCCAGGAGGCGAAAGCGGAAGAGCTGTAACGCCCGTGGGCACTGACAGACTGCGCAAGGCACCATGGGCAGGCGCCGCTCTGCCGCTGGCTGTAAAGGGACATGAACGGCGCACCCTCAGCTCCCATTGACTGTGTCTGGGCTCAGCACCGTGCAAGGAACATGCCCCCATCTCAGTCCTGAGCGCCCCCCCCCCCGCCCAGCTCTGCCCAGGCTGTCCTGGGCAGCCCCACATCTGTCGTGTTCCGGTCCTGCCCACTGCACGCCACTCAGTTCTGATCCACAGCCCCTTGTGATCCCAAAGCTGGGCTCTCACCGCACCGCTCTGCTGGTGCCCTGCAGCCCCCTGCCTGCTACCCCCGTCCTAGGCCTCTGTCTTCGTCAGAGCGTTTGTCCCAGAGACGTGCCCAGCAACGTCCTGGGCATTTGGGACTGGACGGGCCGGCTCGGCCCGATGGCGCCTGTGACAGGGCAGGTCTGCCATGATGTCAGCACTGCCCTGGGATGGAAGGCTCCCCGAGGTGGAGAGGGGATTCTCATGCCAGAAGCTAGGCTCAGCAGATGCTGTGGTACCCTGGGGTGCACCTAGGCCTCACCTCTCCCACCCTGTGCTGTGCTCTGTTTACCCCTCGTGTGCTGTACCTTGCTTCACACCCAAAGCCTTCAGCATCCGAAGCAGGGCCAGGCTATCTATTAGAGCAGCTGCAGGGCTCACAGCACCGTCCCGCTTGGCTATGTAAGGATGTTCCTTAGGTTTGGCGTCCTCCCAAGCGCTGTCTCCAGACCTCCTGGGGGCCTTGTGCTTCACTGCTCCTGGTGCCATGAATCAGGAGCAGCCTGCAGCTGCAGCGACATGCAGGAATCACCCCTCTCGTTGTGGTTACCTGGGCAGCCTGACGTTTCTGCATGCGGTGACTGATTCCTTCCCTGCCCCAGCTGCCCGTGTCCGCGAGAGGTGCCCGGTCGGAACACAAATGCCCCGTGAAGATCGGGGGTGGTGGATGTTATTGCAGCGTGTGTGCTGTGCCTCCAGGGCACCTGGAGAATTGGGCCCATTGTTGCAGAGGGAGGAACAGACAGGTGCCCTTGTATCTTGGTTACCACATGCACCCTGTCGACTTGGCCGACATCCCAGTGCAGCATGGGCACAATTCCATTGAAGTCAGCGAAGCTGCTCCTGGGGGAACTTGGCCCAGAGCTGTGTAGCCATGTATTTACACCGCTATGGCAAGGCTGGTCAATTTCCCCATGAAGACACGCGCCAGATCGTACACTGCTGGCTCCTAGATAAAGCAAAAGTCACGCCATGTGAGCTCCCAGTGCGATGCCATGGCCAAACGGGCTGTTGTGACGTTTGACTGGAGAAAGGTGGGAGTAGTGAGTAGGAGCAGGGAGGTGATTTTACCCCGTGTGCGACATTGGTGGGACTGATCTTGGCATGCTGAGGCCAGGTCGGGTGCCCCCAATTTAAAAAAGGGTGTTGACCAATTGGAGAGGGGGCTGAAAAAAGCCACAAAACTGATTGGTGGGGTGGAGAGAATGCCCGACAGTGAGAGAGACTCAAAGAGCTCGATCTCTAGCTTACAGCAGGACGGTCAAGAGGTGACTTGCTTATAGTGTCAGCTCAGTGTCTTCACAGGGAGAATATACCGGCTGCCAAGGGGCCTTCAATTTAGCAGAGAAAGGCAGAGCAAGGACCAGTGGCCGGAAGCCAGGCAAGTTCCCATTAGAAATAAGGCACAGTGAGGGTGATTAACCAGTTGTGCAAACGACCTAGGGAAGTGGTGGGTTCTCTAGTGTTAGAGGTGACATTAAAGCCACCGGTGTAGAGAGCAGGTGCAGTTGGTTGTTAATGGAAATCGGCGGTGGGTTAAGTCCCTGAGTCAATCTCCAGGTTTTTGACATATTCGTGCAAGTAACCTCAGGTTTAGGAAAGAAGTCGGACGAGTCCAGGACGAGACCTAGTGTGGAGGGCAGGTTATCCCACATCCAGTCCTGTGGGGGGTCCCTGCACCTCGCTCTGAAGCAGCCAGACACAGGATACTGGGGGAGATGGACCATGAGTCTGATTTACTGTGGCAGTCTCTAGGTTCCTGTGAAATCATTTCTGGTTTCATGATAAGGAGTCCTTCATCGGGGGCCATCTGGGTCAAATCCTGCATTCATGTCACCACTGTAACTCCAGAGAACTCGGCTGACACCAGTCAGGGCCCCCCAAAGTGTCTCTAACCTGGAAGCCTCCTTTTAGTTTAAACACCCTAAAATACACAGCCCCGGTTAAACTGCAGAGGCCCCACTGATGCTCGGTGGGAGACGAGCACTCAGTCAGGGTGTGGGCATGGTTGGGTTGGGCTGAGACAGCCGTCCCAGGGCAACGGGCGTCACTATCCATGGGCCAGCACCAGGGTCTCTGGGTTTGCTGGTGGGACGAGTCGCTCCTCGTTGGTTAATGCCCCCTTGTGCCATGTGTCCCCTCCCCCCTTGCAGGCCACCAGAAGAAGCTGATGCTGGCGGTGAAGAAGCTGGCAGAAATCCAGAAGGCCGAGTACATCAAGTATGAGTCGGGGACTCTGAAGAAGAAGGCACCCCAGTCTCTGGATGTGCTGGCCATCGAGTCCCCTCAGCAGGAGAGCGCCGAGTGCCAGTCTCCCAAGATGACCACCTTCCAGGACAGCGAACTGAGCAACGAGCTGCAGGTGGCCCTCACGGGTACGGGAGAGGCACCCGAGGGCCAGGAGAAGCAGGCGAACCACGTGGCACATATCCGGGACGGGGCAGGCTACCGGGGTCCCCCCTCCAGGCACGTGCATGAGAACAGCCTGAGCGGCCGGGCGAAGCACATAAGCAGCTCCCAGGAGCTGCTGGGGGACGGGCCCAAGGGGCCAAGCGCAGCCATGTCCAAGAGCCAGGAGTACCTGACGGAGGAGGTGAAGGAGGGGCCTCCCAGCATGCCCAAGGAGGTCAGGCCCGTGCGGCATGGGCACACCGTCAAGAGAGCCAGCGTGCCCCCAGTGCCAGGCAAGCCCAGGCAGTCATTCCCCCCAGCCGGAGGGCGCTTTACCCCACCGCAGACGCCCACCAAGCCGCGGCCGTCCTCGCCCCAGACGCTCATCGTGCCCCACGCCACGGCCAAGGTCAAGCCCACGCCGCAGCTCCTCCAGCAGGCCGACCGCCCCATGTCGCCCAGGTCCCTGCCTCAGTCCCCCACCCACAGGGGCTTTGCCTACGTCATGCCACAGCCCGTGGAGGGCGAAGGCCTCGCCGGGCACCCGCCGGGCCCCGTGGCACAAGGAGTCCCAGTCCTGCCAGTCTCGGTGCCCGTGCTGTGCCTGCCGCCGCAGAGCGGGGAGGCAGAGGAGGAGCTGGGCAGGCCGAAGAAGCGCGCGCACAGCCTGAACCGCTACGCCATGTCCGACAGCGAGCAGGAGCGGGATGAGCTGCTGGTGCCGGACGCCGGGCCCTATGCCACGGTGCAGCGGCGGGTGAGCAGGAGCCATTCGGTGCGGGCGCAGTCGGGCGGAGACAAGAACGTCAACCGCAGCCAGTCCTTTGCCGTCAGGCCCAAGAAGAAGGGGCCTCCCCCGCCACCGCCCAAGCGCTCCAGCTCCGCCATCTCCAGCACCAACATGGCCGACGACTTCACCAAGGAGGGGGAAGGGGAGGTGCCCGGCGGGGAGGATGAGGAGGCACAGGAGAGTTACCGGGAGCAACGGCGCGCGAGCGACTTTGGGGGCAGCGTGGACACGGGCAGCGCGGGTAGCGTCAAGAGCATCGCGGCCATGCTGGAGATGTCCTCTATTGGCGGGGGCGCCCGGGGCTTGGCCCTGCAGAAGCCTCTCGCAGGAGGAGGAGGGAAGGGACCCGAAGGCTACTACCTGCACCCAGCTGGTGCCATGCACCTGGCCAGCCCGGAGCATTCCCGTGTGGCCGCCGTCCTGGCCGCTGTGAAGCACAAAGACGCCATTGGCCTGGACGGGGAGGTGGTGAACCGGCGCAGGACCATCAGCGGCCCCGTGACCGGCCTCATCGCGGCCGCCCGCAGGGAGCGCTCCGACAGCATCAGGTCGGACACGGGCAAGGACGGCGGCCCGGTGGAGCGGCTGCGGGCAGAGCACGGGGGCTCCCCCCAGAACAGCTCAGCCGAGAACATCCCCTTCGCCGAGGAAGGGAACCTGACCATCAAGCAGCGGCCCCGGCAGATGGGGCTGGCCAAGGGCGAGGCAGGGGAGGGGCTGTCACCTGCTCACCGGCACGGGGACCTGGCTAAGGTGGAGGCCAGCGCCACACTCAAGAGGAGGATCCGGGCCAAACAGAGCCAGCAGGACAGTGTCAAGTTCATCCTGACCGAGTCGGACACGGTCAAGCGACGGCCCAAGTCCAAAGACAAGGAGCAGGGGCTGGAGCCGGCCCCCCTCTCCGTCTACCAGAACGGCACCGGCACAATCAAGCGGAGGCCGACGTCTGAGATGAGCGGTGCAGAGACACCCCCGCAGGGCCCTGCCGCAGGCGACCGGCAGGACAGGCTGGAGCATGCGCCGCAGGGTGTGAGCGGGGAGCCCAAAAAGCCCTTCAAGCCACCGGTCTCTCCCAAGCCCGTGTTAACCCCACAAGCACAGAAGGTCCCCGGGCCGCCTACACCCACTTCCAAAAAGGCGCCGATCCCCAGCCCCGGCAGCCCAGGTAGGTGGTGTCCTGCCGAGGGGGCTGGCAGGAGTCCGGAAGGACGCAGGCTCTGCTCCCCCGGCCCTCAGCTCCGCTCCTGAGAGCCCACAAGCTAAGCGGGGTCGGAGTCGGTTCGCTCTGGCCTGGGAGAGCGCTAAGGCAAACCCAGGTGGTGCAGGCCAGGGCCCTGCCTCGTGGTCCCTACAGCAGCAGCGGAGTGCGAGGGGAAGGGAGGCTCTGTGCCAGCCAAGCGTCTGCTGAGAGCGTTTCGGGTTTAATCCCCTTGGCCTGCGTCAGGTGAGAGCTTCCAGTCTCACTTGCATCCTTCCTCCAGCCAGCCTCTATTGGATGCAGTGTCTTCCCCCCCAGTCCTGCCCAGCTGGGCCGGGTCCCGGGTCGTGGCCAGCAGCTGCTGCGCATCACCCCGCTCGGGGGTGTGGGGAAGTGAAAAGACCCCCCTGGGAACAGCCGCTGGAATTCTGGGCAGCGTTCGGCGGCTTGTCCCAGCCATCGGCCAGGCCCCATCATTCCTAACGCTCTTGGGAGGGGGGGTGGGGCATTCACTGGAGTCCTAGAGGGGCACGTATGGGGACCAACCGTAGGAGCTCTGGAGCTAGGAGTACAAGCCTCTGTGGCAGTGGTGGGCAACCTGTGGCCCGTGGGCCGCAATCAGCCTGTCAGGGTAATCCACTGGCAGGCTGCCAGACAGTTTGTTTACATTTGCACGGCCGGCCGATTTGCACGGCCGGCCGCCCGCAGCTCCCAGTGGCCACCCCCAAGCTGAGTCAGGGTGGCTCAGCCGCTGGCTGCCTGCTTCTTGAGCTGGATTGTATTGAAAATTCATTAGCCCATGAAGTGGCTGGGTTTTATATTGATTGAGGTTAATTGTGGGGTGGGCCATCCTTAAGCGGGGGCCCAGGACTCCTGAGTTCTATTCTGGGCTCTGCTGCTGTCTGTGGGGAAGCCTCCCAAAGGTCTGATGCTGGCTCCCATTAGTGTGCCCCCCCACAGGGCAGGGGCGACCCCCTTCACCCAGCCCCTCTCACCCAGAGCAGGGGTGACCCCCTCCCCCCGATCCCAGCCCCCCTCGCCCAGGGCAGGGGCGACCCCCCTCATCCTGCCCCTCTTACCCAGAGCACGGGTGATCCCCCCCCAATCCCAGCCTCCCCATATTAACAGCAATGGCTATGACCCTCACAGTCCCTCTCCTCTCTTCTCTCCTGCAGAGGTGAAGCGAGTCCACGGCACCCCACCCCCCGGTGTCGCCCAAGCCCCCACCACCCCCGACGGCACCCAAGCCCCCCAAGCTCCACGCCGCCATCCAGTCAGTGAGTGCAGGCTCCACGCCCACCCCATCCCCTGCCAAGCAGCTCACCACGACGATCAAGCCTTCAAGCACACCGCCTTCGCTCTGCTCGAGCCCCGCCAAGCCCCTATCGCCCGGCGGGCAGCCCCAGCAGGTGCCTGTCAAGCCGCCGCGCTCCTCCATCGCCGGGCCCTCGACGGAGAGCGCCAGCCCCGAGATGGCACACCAGAAGCTGGAGGAGACCAGCGCCTCGCTGGCGGCTGCCCTGCAGGCTGTGGAGGAGAAGATCAAGCAGGAGGATGGGCAGGCAGCAGAGTAAGGATCCCGCTCCCTCTTGCGCATGCACACGGGGCTATGCCTTTTTTGTGAGGGGCGCCGACCTTTGGGACTCACTGCTGCTGGACAGTGTCGGGGTCAAGAGTCCAGCAGGGCAATTAGGAAAAGAGTCCGTGGGTGCAAGGGCTGTTGCTCTTCATGCTTCAGGGATACGGTACTCCCTGTTGGTGTCAGGCGGGGCTGTTTGCTGAGCCAGACTAGCTCCATTGGAAAAAGCCCCTTCTCACCTAGTGTAGACAAGGCTCAGCTGTCCCCATTCCTGTGGGTCTCCTGGTGAGTCTGGTCTCTGCTGGGTCAGTCTTTCTAAGTTCCTCAGGGCAGGGGCTCCTTTCTACAGGGCCCAGTGTGACGGCACTTAGTGCAGACAACCTTAATTCAGGTACCACCAGTGCTTAGCTTTGCAGGCCTTTATGTGCTTGTAAAGGAGGGTTTTTTAGGTAATTTCCCTAGGTTTAAATACCGTATTAAATAAAACCGTATTGACCCTCCACATGGGTCGTCAGCAGGGCTTGGTCAAGTAAGCTAACAAATAACCGGTAGTAGTAGAAGGCTGTTATCTTCTACGTGGCCCTGCTCCCAGAGGGGTTGGGGATGCGCCCTCTGCCAGTGGGTTTCACAGCTGATTGCTCAGCCCTGAAGGAATGGTGAGATGCAGGGCACGTGCACCTAGAGAAGTGATAGCTCAATAAGGTGGGGTGTGAATTCAGAGCCCTGCAGTTATACCGGTATAACTCCCTGGGTGGAGGCTCTTATTCTGGTGCAAGAGGACCTATTTCCAGTTTAGCTTATGTTGCTCGGGAAATGATTTAAACTAAGCTGAGAAAACCTACTCTTAGGATCAGCCAAGCAGAGTCACTGGGAGGGTGGAAAAATCCAAGTCCCTGTGAAGACAGCACTAGGTCGACCTAGCTATGGGCTCTCGGGGAGGCGGACCCTCCCATTGGTCTACACGGAAGCACTGCAGTGGAACAGCTGTAGGGTTTCTAGTGTCGACAAGCCCTTGTACTGGAACAGGGTGGCTTATTCCAGGATAACTGTTGGGGTTTAGTTGTACCGGTAGAGTTATACTGGTATAACTGGGAAATCTCCCATGCCGACAAGCCTGCAGGACGGCTGGGGTCAGTTCCAGGTTCTTTAAGGACGTGTGTGTTAATAGATACAAACTGTCCTGCTCCTGCCCCCCTCCCCAGGTTACCCCCCTTTCAGGTTTTGAAGGACAATGCTTCTAGGGGCTGCTCCATGGCCCCCTCCTCATGGAGCTGGCTGAGACCCCCCAACTGCCCCACAGGGCAGAGCGAGGGGAGCCCGGCTAGGAGGGGAGACAGAGCCCAGCTCTGCCTTGTGGCTCCAGCCCCTTGTTCCCCCCAGGAAGGAGGCTCAGTTCTGAGGGGGACCCAAGGGGAGCTGGAAGAGGGACACAGGCTTGGGGAGGGGCAGGGGTCCGTATTGGGGGGTTCTTGGGGAGATCCAGGCTTGAGGGGGCCCTTATGAAGGAGAGTTGGGGTGGGACACAGCCACAGGGGGCATGGGGCGGAACCCTGGCTTGAGAGGCACCCTGGGTGGGGTGAGGAGTGTTTGGGGAGCAGAACTGTACAGATGGGGGGACAGGAGGGAAGTTACCTTGCCGGGGTCGGGGGGGTGGAGGGGCTTGCTGGGCTCTGAGGGCCTGTGTCCCCTCCCCGCAGTTTGGGTGGAAAGTTACTCCACTGCTCAGTGTGACACCCCTCCCACCCCCACGTGCCCGCTGTCCCTGCCCTCCGGGCGAGACCCACATCAGCCACGGGCCGGGGGCTGTCCTGTGGGGCACAGACCCCCAGCCCCTCCCCGCAGCGATGCTAACGGACGCTTTCTGCACCTGCAGCGCCGCTGCGGAAGCGAAGAGCACAGTCAGCATTCTGGACGACATTGGCAGCATGTTCGATGACCTGGCCGACCAGCTGGACGCCATGCTGGAATGAGGCCCGAGGAGAACCCCAGCTAACCTCAGGATTTACCGTGGGTACAAGGGCACAACGATCCACTGACTCCCAGCCCCCCTCCCTGCCCCTTGTACAGCCTGTCCCCACTCGGCGAACAGCCCATCCTTCGGGGTTTGCACAAAGAAGAAAAGATTACCTCAGGATTGTGCTCACACAGACCGTGGCCCGCGGCGCTCGGGGCAGGCTTTTGGCGGGAGTGGGTGTGCAGAAGCAAAAAAACAAGAAGCCCTGTTATGTTTTATTTCCTACCTAAGTAGCAAGCGACCGTGGGATAAAGGCGCCCGTAATGCTGTCTACACCCAACTGCCAGGCCGAGAACCCCGTGGGGTAGGGCTCGTCCCCTGACTCGCCCCTCCGGGCCAAACCCGACATCCCAGCGAGAACGGTTCTGATCCGGTTGTGCCGTTGAGCTGAACTTCCACCTTTTTTAGTTTGAACCGACCGTTCTCTCTCTCTCTGGACTCCCAGATGTGACAGTTCTGTGTGTAGCCAAACGTGGCCCAAGTCAGTATTGATCCATCTGCTTTCCTCCCCATTCGGTTTGGGTTAGACTCGCGTTCAGGTGACGCCGTGTTGCTATCGTTTCTCACCCAAGCACCGCCATTATCCCGTGTGCCGCCGTCTGCGTTCCCATGCCCCCGTCTGCTGATGTTGGGAGACGCTAGGAGTGGTGGGCCGGGGCCGCCCGCTGTGGGTGCCAGGGTGGGTGCTTGCCCGCTGGCGTTCGATTCGCTGCATGCTTTGTTTTACTCGGAAGGTGTTTGTTTGTTCTTTCCTGGTGCTGAGAAGCTGTGACCGTGAGACGTTGTTCTGGTGACAAGTCCGGTTTGACCAATTAGCTCTTTCATTTAAAAAAAATTTTTTTTTTTCTGTGTTCTGGTTATTTTGGGGGCCGTCTTGCCGCGGAAGCAGCGCTCTGCGCCATGAGAAAGCTTTGTAGGTTTGCATGCTCGAGACAGTGTTATGACAAGAAAACAAAAATATAGCAAATAGCCCCCTCCCTCCCACATGCCGCTCCCTGCTGGGGGGCGGCTCCTGGTGGCTGCCCGAGGGGGTGGTTCCTGGGTGGCTTTCACTGCACAGAAAGGGCTGTTGGAAATCTGAGCACAGCCCCATCACCTTGCCCTTTTCTCCACTCACAACCGCTTGGCTTCCAAAGACTTTGTCCTTGACTTGGACTATTCAGCCTTTAATGTCCGTCCTCACCCCGCTCCTCTGCGGGAGTGACAGCCAGTCCCAGGCTTGCTGGCCGCCGGGGGCCTGGTTGTGCTCTGTGGAAGCCCGTGGCAGCGGGCTGGGGGCCTCGGAGGGCGGATTCCATGGAAAGGGATGCTTGCATGTGTTCGGCCCCCAACAGGGTGGTGTCCCCGGAGCAGTAGGGCTGCGGGGGATTTGGCGCCACTGGGGATCTGGGCCTCACCCTTTAGGGACAGTGTGAGCTGGGCCATGGAGGGGGTGAGCAATGGTGGGGCTCTCAGCCAGGAGGAGCCAGAACATTGTGCTGGGTGGGGAGCGGGGGGAGAACCCTCCTGCAGATGCTGCTTGAGGGCAGGGGCTGGGAGGGAAGGGGCTCTGATGGCAGGAGCCTGGGGGCTTGTCAGCTCTCTGAGGGCTGTGGGCGCCAGGCTGTGGGTATTCAGAGCCAGGCTCTACCCATGCAGGGCTGGGGCATTGGCAAACCATGGGCCAGGCTGACTCCCATTTCACTGCTCCGTCCCCTACCACAGCGGCCAAGAGCCCCGCCCTGAACAGACCCCCCCAGGCCTGCCCTGCAGGCCCTGAAGAGCCCAAGCCCCCGGGAGCTTTGCTGCTGTTAATAGAGCATTGCCTAGTGAGCGGCGCACAGGGCTCTCATCCATCTCCAGCAAGGCGCTGTGTCAGCCTGGTCCCCGGCTGCCGTGGGAGGTGAGGGGCTTCAAGGGGGATACGAGAGGGTGGCTCTGTGGGGTCTGCTGGGGGCATCGGCAGACAACTCAGCGATGGCAAAGGGAAGCCAGCCTGAGGTGCCTCCGCCTTAGAGACACGGACAGCCTGAGCCAGACCATGGGGTCCCCAGCGCTCTGCCCAGTGGGTTCTGCTGGCGGGGTGCGGCCCGTGCGAGGCAGGCAACCGCCAGGGCCAGATCCGGGGGAGCTGCGTGGTGAGGAGGGGGATGGGGCTGCAGCCCTGGGGCGGGACACCCCTCATATGAGCACAATACAGGAGTCCCTAGTGTTGGATTCCCAAGTGGCCGGTCAGGCCTCTCTGCTCCGGTGCTGCTCCTCCTACCCCCCACCGGGCCAGAGGGCACCGCTGGGGCAGCGCTAATGGCCCTGGAGCAGAGGGAGCTCAGGGAGCAAATCCCTTTCCTTGTCCCAGTCAGTCCCAATGCCAGCAGCATTTCCTGGTACCTCTCTGTAACGTGGGGCTCACTTGGCCCCCCCACCCTGCGCCCCAGCCCTGCCTTCCCTCAGGGAGACCAGCTTGTGTCAGAGCATGACCTTGGAGAACCGCAGTAGCTAACACACGTATAACCCCGTAGCACGCGGCGCAGGCAGCTCATGTCAGCTGCTCCCGGCTAAGCCCTGCTGGAATGACAGGCGTGGCAGACAGTTCCTCCCTGGGCCACTGGCTGATGGAGCAGGGCGCTGCACCCTGCTGGTTAATCCCACTGCTCCAGGCTGTGTTCTGAACACCCCGCCGTCCGTGGGGAGCCGAGCCCTGGGAGGGAGCCGCACTCCCTAGAAATGCACTGCCAGTTTCCAGTCCAGGCCCATGGGCGTGCCTGACTGGCTCCAGCCAGGCTTCTGCTAGCCCAGTGTCCCTTCTCAGAGAGGGGCCAGTTCCAGATGCAGCGAGGTGGGTGTAAGAATGCTGCAGTGGCAGGTGTAGGATAATTCCCCTCGGCTCTCATTAGGCCTCCTCCTGGTCTTTTAGGGCTTGTCTGCAGGGCACCCCTGTGCCTTTGCCAGGGGTGTGAATTGTAGAGATGAAATTAATAGGCAGTAGGTTTGATACAAACAGAAGGATGTATTTCATCACACAATGCACAGTTAACCTGCGGAACTCATTGCCAGGGGGTGGGTGAAGCCAAAGAATAACTGGGTTCAAAAAAGTATTAGATCAGTTCATGGAGGATTGGTCCTTCGATGGCTGGACAGCAGGGGGTGGATCACTCTGAGCCATCTGGTGCCAGTCACTGCCGGAAGACACGACACTGGGCTGGATGGACCATTGGTCTGATCCAGCGTGGCCGTTATGTTACGATTCACTATGTACCTTTTAGTTCATGCCAGCGGGTCTACATGGGGCAATTAGAGTGCTCAACCATTCACACCCCTCGGGCTTGCACCGCAGTGCCATGGAGACAAGCCCTACCCATCAGCATTTGGCTACAGCCCTGAAGCAGGAGATTTAATGTCCCTGCCCATATGTGTGTTGCCGTTAGTTATGCTAACTCCGGCTCTGCTGGATCCCCCTAGAAATGTCCAGTCCCTTTTCAAGTCTCCAAGAGGCTGGTGAGCCGTGCACTGCGATGCTGGCCCAAGGGACTGGGGCATGTCTGAGAAATCCCAAATTGCTCATCGGTTTCTAAAGCCTCAATATCCGGCCCCATTTCTGTAACCTGGCTCCCTCCTCCCTGCCCCTTGCTGTGTCTGAACAAGCAGGGGTGACGCCCGGACCAGAACTAACAGCCATGGGGCTGTTCGTTGGGCTCAAGCTGAGGTTGGCCAACAGGGGCGATGCCGAGCAGCTGATGTGTTGTCAGGGCTTTTCCTCCAAACTCTTGACAGACCAGCATTTCCCATCTACAAGGGCTCCAGTTACAAGGCCTCCCATCCTGCAGCCTGTACCCAGGTAGGTAGCTATTCCTTGCAGGCCTGGGCCTATGGATGTCAGCGGGGCCATGTATGAGTGAGGGGGCTGGGATCGGCTTCCCTGCTTCTTGCAAGTGCCAGCAATTTCCCCTGCCACATCCCGATATGTCTGCTCCTTTGTCAAACCAATGACCTTGGGGACCCAAAATCAGGCTAGAGGAATTCAGACCAGCCCATGGGTTCAGCTCCTTTGTTTCTGGCTTGAGCCTCCTGGTCCAAGAGGGTTGTTAGCTTCCTCTATAGCCCGGTAGTTTTCTTACATGCGCTGAGCTCATTGCAGAGGATAGAGGGCCTTAGCCGAAGCAAGCAGAGCAGTGGTGGGCATGGCTGAGCGAGGCCTGTATTTAGGACAATGCCCTGCTGCAGTGAAGTGTTATGAACGCTTCCTAGTTGGGGAACAAAAACTCTTTCTGTGGAGGGTGATAAGGGATGAAGAAATAATAAGCTATATAAAGAAGTATTAATTTATTGGGAAAAAAAGATTTAAGACAGATATTTTCCCCCAGAAATTAAAAAAAGGAATAAACTTTAACAAATATATATTTAAAATATTAAAAATAGTGTCAATTATATAATAAAAGTTTTAAAAAAATCAAGAGAACTGGATTTTAGCTTGAGAAAATCTATTAGATTACAATAAGCTCTATGTCTTTGTGGCAAGATCATATTAAGAGTAGCACAAGCATAAGATACCTTTTATCTCCTTAGAAGGTCTGTGCAAACAGCTTTTGGTTTGTTTTTCTGTTGGAATTCAGTGTTCTTCCTTTATTTTTACACAGTTTAAGAAACTCAAAGGATGTGCCTTGTTTCATGAAGGTTTTTGTTAACTCTGATCTGGAGGTTGTTTTATTTTTCTTAGGTGTCTTCAGGGTTGTTTTTTAATTTTTTTTTTAATGTGTGTGAATGTGTGTGTGTGCGCGTGCGTATTCTCGAGAATACACAGCTGTATATTCATGTATAAACGGGATTTGGAGTCTGGTTTATCGCTTGAATTCTGATGAATGCATTTTGCTTGTGGTTTCAAAACAACGTGTCGATGTAATTTTTTTCTGAGAAGTACAAACTGCTTTCTCTCTCTCTCTCTCTCTCTCTCCCCCACATTGTGTTTGCTGATCCAGATGTGTTTGGCACAACTTTGAAATTTCTTTAAAAAAAAAAAAAGCCTAGAACTATCTGTTGTAAAGAAAAAAAAATGTATCTTAAAAAAAAATCCATGAAGCTCTCCATGATGGATATATACATATATATATATTTTTTATGATTAAGTTATGGAATCTGTATTGTATTCCCATTCTGTCAAAGCTATGCATCTTGGTGCTTTTCCCTGCTCTTCTGTGCTTTGGTTCCACCTATATTATTCTGACTATTCTGAATATTAAATGGCTCGTGGTGCTTTGAAGACGTTTGCTCCTATAAAAAGTCTGGCAACAAATATTTAAAGGAAAAAAACCAACCTTATCAACCTGAATTGTAAAAGAGACAAATGTTATTTTTGTTGTTGGGAGTTAACACCAACCAAAAAAAATTCCATGGTAGAGACAATTCCTAAAGCACCAGGTTGTACAGTGTGTGTATATGTCCTTCTGGTCCCCTGCGATGGACTGCCTCATACTGTAATTTTTTGTCAGGCATGTGGCAGTGGTATGCTTGACTGACTGCAGTTACTGCCATCGGCTCTCAATAAATGTCAGAAAACTCCAGGTGGGTGCTGCTCTTGTTTTGCTAGGCCTGGCTGCTGTAGTTAATGGGCCTGCGGCCAGGAAGGGGCGTGGGTGTTATGCTACAACCCTGGCAGAAGTGGCTATGGCGTGGAGGAGCAGGCGTACCTAACCCACCCAGGAGCATAGGGGTGGCCAAGTAGCACAGAAAGCTGGAGCAGCCACCTGTGGACCGGGGGACTGACATGATGTCAGCGCACTGCGGGACAATTACACCAAACTGTCCCTGCTTGCTTCGCAGCTCCTGGGCCTCCCAGGGCCCCAGTGTGTGAAATCCCCAGCCCAGCTGCTGCCCGGCTCAGTTCGAGCACCCAGAATGCTGGCATCTTTTGCAAATTGGCAAATTAGGATGGAAATGGAACTTCCCTGAGCAGAACTGCAAGAGCTGGTCCTGTAGCTTGGGGGCTTTGTCCCCTGGCTGCACTGCGTTCACCATTGGCATTCCCAGGGTTCGAAGCGTTGGCCTGGCCCAGACGAGGTAAATTTCTTTGGCACGGGGTAAGGGAGCTGGGGCTGAGTTTACACCCTTTCCCACAGCTCTGGCTCCAGCAGGACACTTTAAGGCTTTTAATGCTAAACTTGACCCTTTTCAGAGTAGCAGCCATGTTAGTCTGTAGCCGCAAAAAGAAAAGGAGGACTTGTGGCACCTTAGAGACGAACAAATTTATTTGAGCATAAACTTTCGTGAGCTACAGCTCACTTCATCGGATGCATTCAGTGGAAAATACAGAGGGGAGATTTATATACACAGAGAACGTGAAACAATGGGTGTTACCATACACACTATAACGAGAGTGATCAGGTAAGGTGAGCTATTACCAGCAGGCGAGAAAAAAAACAACACCTTTTGTAGTGATAATCAAGGTGGGCCATTTCCAGCAGTTGACAAGAAAACGTCTGAGGAATGGTGGGGTTGTGGCGGGGTGGGGGTGGGGGGTGAAACCTGGGGAAATAGTTTTACTTTGTGTAATGACACATCCACTCCCAGTCTTTATTCAAGCCTAATTTAATGGTGTACAGTTTGCAAATTAATTCCAATTCAGCAGTCTCTCGTTGGAGTCTGTTTTTGAAGTTTTTTTGTTGAAGAATTGCCACTTTTAGGTCTGTAATCGAGGGACCAGAGAGATTGAAGTGTTCTCCGACTGGTTTTTGAATGTTATAATTCTTGACGTCTGATTTGTGTCCATTTATTCTTTTACGTAGAGACTGTCCAGTTTGGCCAAGGTACATGGCAGAGGGGCATTGCTGGCACATGATGGCATATATCACATTGGTGGATGTGCAAGTGAACGAGCCTCTGATAGTGTGGCTGATGTGATTAGGCCCTATGATGGTGTCCAATCCCCTGGCCTGAGCCCTGTGCTGCACCCCGCACCCCTCCTGCACCCCACCACCCCTGCCCTGAGACTCCTCCTGCGCCCCAACCCCTTGTCCTGAGCCGCTTCCTGCACACCGCACCCCCCCCCCCACTTGACCCTGTTACTCTTAAAAAATCTCCCTGATTGAAACCGTGGGTGAAAAAAATGATCAAGAGGCAGGCTGGTGTCACCCAGCTCACGCCTTGTTACCGGAGAGAGGAAAGCAAGCAAGGCCCCTTGTGTTCGCCTCTTAAGGACGCCCATGTTATAGCAGCAGCTGTGTCCCCTGGCATTTAATTCAGGTGTTGTACTAAAGCAGGGGTGGGCAAACTACGGCCCACGAGCCAGATCCGGCCTGTCGGGGCTTTAGATCTGGCCCGCGGGATTGCTGTGGCCAATGGGAGCTTCAGGGGAGGTACCTGCAGGTGAGGGCCGAGCCCTCTGGCCCCGCCTCACGTCCCCCAGGGTCCGCAGGGATGTGGTGCCGGGAGTAGCTCGGGGCCAGGGCAGGCAGGGAACCTGCCTTAGCCTCACTGCGCACCGCTGCCACCCCAGAGCCGCTCCAGGTAAGCGGCGCCAGGCTGGAGCCTGCACCCCGAACCCCTCCTGCACCCCAATCCCCTGCCCTGAACCCCCTGCCGCACCCCGCACCCCTCCTGCATCCCAATCCCCTGCCCTGAGCCCTGTGCTGCACCTCGAACCCCTCCTGCACCCCAATCCCCTGCCCTGAACCCCCTGCCGCACCCCGCACCCCTCCTGCACCCCAATCCCCTGCCACACGCTGCACCCCCTCCTGCATCCCAATCCCCTGCCCTGAGCCCCCTGCCGCACCCCGCACCCCTCCTGCACCCCAATCCCCTGCCCTGAACCCCCTGCCACACCCCGCACCCCTCCTGCACCCCAATCCCCTGCCTCACGCTGCACCCCCTCCTGCATCCCAATTCCCTGCCCTGAGCCGTGCTGCACCCTGAACCCCTCCTGCACCCCAATCCCCTGCCCTGAACCCCCTGCCGCACCCCCGCAGCCCTCCTGCACCCCAATCCCCTGCCTCACGCTGCACCCCCTCCTGCATCCCAATCCCCTGCCCTAAGCCCTGTGCTGCACCCCGAACCCCTCCTGCACCCCAATCCCCTGCCCTGAACCCCCTGCCGCACCCCGCACCCCTCCTGCACCCCAATCCCCTGCCTCACGCTGCACCCCCTCCTGCATCCCAATCCCCTGCCCTGAGCCCTCTACTGCACCTCAAACCCCTCCTGCACCCTACCCCCCCAGAGGTCCCTCCCGCACTCTACAGCCCCTCCTGCACCCCAACCCCTTGTCCTGAGCCTCTTCCTGCACACCGCACACACCCGTCCCACACCCCAGCCCCCTGCCCCAGCCCTACATTCATGGCCCTGCGTTCAATTTCCACAACCAGATGTGGCCCTCGGGCCAAAAAGTTTGCCCACCCCTGTTGTAGGCAGTCTGGGTGGGAGATGGGACTGCTCTGTGGATGGGAGCATAACTCCAGCCTGTGCGCGGCCAAGGGACCAGCCTACAGCTCCAGGGGCTGGTCCACCTGAAGAAGGAGGTGCTGGCCATTTGGGCCCAGACCCCTTCCTGCTGCTCAGCAGCAGTCTCTATGCAGCTGCTGTAGCCCAGGGCCTGAGCTGGGGCTCAGAGGAGGGGCCCCATGACAGCTGGAGCAGGGGATGGGCTCCTTTTGGGCCCCGCACTCACACTGGGCAGTTGCGGGGAGGCAAAAAGCGGAACCTGCCAGAGGCAGAGTAAAGAGTGGGGTGGGGTGGGACACTCCTCCAGTCTATGGGGGGTGTCCCAAAGTGAGGCACTGGTGCTACCCTCCTTGGGCAATAAGGCACCCCCCCCCGCCCCCATGGACTGGAGGGGCAGGGTCCCTACTGCTAGCCTCAGCGAGAGAGAGAGAGAGAGTGAGAGAGTGTGTGTGTGTGTGTGTGTGGGGGGGGTGTTTTCTGCAGCTTCAGGGTTGCCAGGTATCCGGTTTTCGACTGGAACACTTGGTCAAAAAGGAACCCTGTTGGCTCCGGTCAGCACCAGTGATCAGGCCACTAAAACTCCGGTTGTTGGCGCAGTGGGGCTAAGGCAGGCTCTCTGCACGGCGCCTGGGAAGCCAAGCAGCAGCCAGCGTCTCTGTGGGTGGAGGGAGAAGGGTCGGGGGGGGGGGGCTCCGTGTGCTGTTCCCCGCCCCAAGCACAGGCTCTGCAGCTCCCATTGGCTGTGGTTCCCAGCCAATGGGAGCTGCGGGGCAGTGCCTGCCAGCAGGGACAGCAGGTGGAGCACCCTGGACATGCTGCTGACTAGGAGCCGGCCATGCCGGCGGCTGCCTGCCTTCCCAGGAGCCGCCTGAGGTAAGCATTGCCTGGAGCCCCAACCCTGCTCCCCAGCAGCATCCCACACGCTGAACCACGCCCCACCCCCCAGCTCAGAGCCCCCTCAGCTGGAGCCATCACCCAACACCCCCAACCCCTTGCCCCAGCCCTGAGTACCATCCCACACTCTGACCCCTTTGGCCCCCACCTGCACCCTGAGCCGGAGCCATCATCCCCCTCCCCCCGCCCACAGCCTCCTGCCCCAGCACAGTGAAAGTGAGCGAGGGTGGGGGAGAGCACGGGTGGGGGGAAAGGGGCCTGGAGTGAATGGGGGGGCAGGGTCTTGGGGAGGGGGCAGGGCTAGGGTGTTCAGTTTTCTATTAGAAAGTTGCCCCCCCAAGCAAGCGTATGTAAGGGGGCCTCTTGGCCCCTTACTAAAACACAGTGGGGTTTTGGGTTGGCTAGCCCCCAGTACCAAAAGAAAGGGCAAGAGTCAATGAGAAATCAGGGCCCCTGAGATTGACAAGCTCCCAGAGCCAATGAGGCGAAGCCAACGTGCTAGGGCAGCCTGATTGACAAGGCAGGCTGGTCAATGACGGTGGGGGGGGGGTAAGGAGGGCTCACCCTCCCTGGGAGCTGGGGCTGCCTGGGGCAGAGGTAAGGGGAGAGCCGGGGCCTGGGGAGCAGCATGGCTGGCCAGAACCAGGGAGTGGGGCTGGGGCTGGAGCTGGGGAGCATGAGGGGGCCCCAAGGCTGGCCAGACTTGGGGGGGATCGTAACCCCAACAGGGTGGGGATGATGCTGGGACGAAGGATCCTGCCACCTCGAGCCTAAGAATGTGTGGCCACCACCAGAGCAAGTGTCCGACCCGCAGCATAGCCAGGGCCTGGGATGGTGAGGCCCAGACTGGGGCCCAGTGACTACCGGGTGTGATGTCCCCGGGCCACACAGTGGGTGGGTGATGTGTTTTAACTTCACCCGTTACCATTGTTTTCCTAATTGGCTGCTGGTTAGTAAATTGTCTTTGCTTTGAACTAGCTGTAATGATCAGTGGCTCAGGAAAGAGTCCGGTGTGAAGACAGTGCCCTTGAGTGGGGACACCCTAACCCCTGGCCAAAGTGACCACGATAAGATTGGGGGGGTCCAGTCCCCCCCGCCCCGGACTCCTGGGCCAGCCTAGTCAGGCTTATGAGCACTCTGCCAGACAGCAGAGTGGAAGGGGAGTCCTCGAGCTCAGGCAGGCCTCTGGGTAAAGGCCATGGGAACGAGGACTCATGGCCTTTCGCGAGCCCACTTCACCGGGGTAGTGTATAAACCAGGAAAGTGCCCCACAGTAGCAGGGCCTTTCCCCTGCTTACACTTAGCTGAGGCAGCCAGCGAAGGAGGTGGTGGAGTTTAAGCATCGTGGGACGACCTCTTCACTGCCTCAGGTCAGCCCAGGGGGGCTGAGCCCCGTGCATTTGGCTAACGGTGCTGCCACAGCCAGAGCAGTTTACGCGGGGTACGTGACGGTTCCTCAAGGCCCCCGTGAGGCTGGGGCATTAGTGGCCTGCTCTTTGGAGCCAGCCGCTGTGTGGGAATGTCTCTTTAGGTGAGCGTTACTATGTTACAAATGAAATATTGAGTCTGAAATGCTTTCGAACAGTGGGGTTAGTGAGCCCCCCGCACCTCTGGTGAAGCCCGAGGAGCCCAGACAGTGGGGCACCCCTTTTTGTGTAACGGCCCCGTGTGGGCCCTTACCCAGGGTCAAGGCAAAGCCTGCTGGGCAGGGTGGAAGGCGCACAAGCTGGGCCAGGCTCCCTCCACGCCTGTTCCGTTTCCAACCCCCGCGGTGCCGGTGGTGGCAGGGGCAGGTGTCACGGGGTCCCTGGCCGATGCTCTGGAACTGCTCCCCATGAAGCCAGTCAGGACTCTGGGGCAGTCGCCTTTCTGTGAGCAGCCTGTCTTCAGGACACACAGCTCACCCGGCTCCACCTTCCTGGGTCTGACCTCGGAGCATTCAGCATCCTCTGCCCCTCCGTGCGCTTCCCCCCAGCGAGTCCGCTCAGGCAGGGCTCCTGGGGAAGCCAGGGGGTCCTGCACCCCAACTCCGCAGTCAGACGGGACTCTCAGCCAGCCAGTAAAACAGAGGTTTATTAGATGACAGGAACATGGTCTAACACAGAGCTTGTAGGTGCAGAGAACAGGACCCCTCAGCTGGGTCCATTTTGGGGGGCAGTGAGCTAGACAACCACGTCTGCACTTCACTCCATGTCCCCAGCCAGCCCCAAACTGAAACTCCCTCCAGCCCTCCTCCTCTGGGCTTTGTCCCTTTCCCAGGCCAGGAGGTCACCTGATTCCTTTGTTCTCCAACCCTTCAGCTTTCACCTTGCAGGGGGGAAGGGCCCAGGCCATCAGTTGCCAGGAAACAGGGTTTCGGCCATTCTCTGCGTCCAGACTCCTGCCCACACCTGCCCTCTAGGGCTCCGCAATGATCATACACCCTTACCCCACCACCTAGACACCCAAGAACTACCCAGGGGAAACCGAGGCACCCCCACACCACTCGGAGGAAACATCAAGAACAGTCCCACTTTGTCACAGCAGGGAATGAGCCACCGGAACAAGAAGCTGTTTTCATGCGCTGTCAGTGCCTCCCTGTGCAGCTTTTGGCCTGGACCCTCCTTACCTATGGGTATAACCCACCCATGCTGACCCAGGGTGCTTGCAACCCTTCATTAGGGCAAGCCTAGTTCTGGGGCCACAGCCGCTAAAGGCCCCAGGAGAAGCTGCAGTGCTCGTCCCATGGGATCCACCCCCTCTCCTTGCTTACAAATACACCAAGGCCTCTCTTCATCAGCCCCCAACTACCCGCCCTGTTGCTCTGCAAGGCAGTGGGTGTAGTTCTAGGAGACATGGCAGGAGACGCTTTCCCATGGCTTTTGCCCTCAGCTAAGGGGCAAATACGCAGTGTTTAACACCCTTGGGCCACAACCACCTTAAAGCTCTGTTGATACCGGTCTCACCAGGGCCCTCGCAGCCATGATGCAGCTTTAGCTCTCCAGTGCCAGGGATTATACCAAGGGGAGGTAATGCGGGGAGACAGGGATTCGCTTAGACTACCCCCGACAAGGCTAGTGAGCCAGCTACTGCCAGTTACTCCATTCCTGCTGGCTTACTTTGCTGCCAGTAGCCGATCGGCGCCTTGGCTCAGAGACACCACCTGATTCTCACCCACCGCGTGGCCCTGAACCGCTTCAGCTCGCTGCCGCAGTTGTCGAGTGTACGGATGGGAAAGCCCCAATTCTAATGGGAGAAGAATTTTTTAAGAAACCACTTCACCCCTGCTGGTGCCACGCCATTCACTTCTCATGGCTCTTGTCTTACCCTATGTCTACACTGCAAAGAAAAACCCCTGGCTGGCGTCTGCCAGCTCATGCTGTGGGGCTGTTTCATTGCTCTGCAGAATGCGGGGCTCAGGCTGCAGCCCCAGCTCTGTGACCCTCGCAGGGTCCCAGAGCCCGGGATCCAGCAAAGCCCAGAAGTCTACACAGCAGTGAAACAGCCCTTAGCTGACTCGGGCTCACGGGGCTCAGGCCAGCTGCAAGCGTCTAGCGGCTGTGTAGACATATCCCTAGTGGCCTCCCACACCTGCTGTGCCTGGCGCAGGGACGACCTCCCCTGCCCAGGTGTGCGGGGTTGGGAAGTGCGTGCCCGTGGAAGGCCAGGCAGGTGGCAGCTGGCCCTCCCCCAAGCGAGCCCCCCCCAGTAACTCACACGTACCTGGAACAACTTTCCACTTTTATTGTCAATGAAGAAATAATCCAATTATATTACAATCTTAAAAACCGTAGAAAACGTGAGTAAAAATGCAACAGAGGCTTTTTCTCTTTAATGTGGAGACTGTAATTACAGGGAGGGTGAACCAATGCGCTTGTGTTACTTGATCAGAGAACTAGCTTGTGGTGTAAAAATCGTACCTGGCTACACAAGGAAGATTCCTCTTCAAAGGCCAAACAACAGCTCACTATCGTCTGGGCAGTCCAATTAAATACAAGAGAGACAGGGAGGGGCCCGTGCGAACCCGAGCAGAGGGCAAGGCTGAAGCTCCGTTCTCCTGTTTGCAAAGCGACCTCGCTCCTGGTTCTTTGCTTCCTCGACAGGCTCTGCTGTGACCAGCTGAGTTGTGCTGTCCCACTGCCGCCTGGCATCCCACGCCAACTGCACCGTGCTTGGCCCGAACGGCCCAGCCAGCCTGGGTCAGGCTCTGCTGTGGTGACACTATGCTCACAAACCCCTGCCCCGTGCTGTGTGCAGTGCAGAGAACCGCAGTGACCCACCGGCACTGGCAGCAGGCCAGATCTCCCATTAAATACGTGGGACATGGCTGATTTCTGGGGCGTCCCTGGGCGACGGCAGGTCGGAGGGACTAGCAATGCTGAGGGCGCAGTTCTGTGGCCGATGGAAGGCAGCAGGTGGTGCTGGTGAGCAGCGGGGCAGCAGCAGCTATGTCAGAGCGGTGTCGGTCATCCAACAGGCCAGCAGAGGAGAAGGAGATTTTGGTAGCTCGGGGTGCAGGATCCGTGCCGTTAGCACGTCCAGACCTGTGGGGGCAGGGAGGGACGGGTGAACAAGGATCCAGGTCAGTCAAGGGAACACAGCTGGTTCCTTCCGCGCCCTTCCCCAAAACGCCCTTCTCAAAGCTGAGCCCATATCGATCCCTGCTGGCCAGCCGGGGCCCGTTCTGCTCCCCGACCCCGGCTGCTGTCCTAGCGAGCCAGGAGGAAAGGGGAGCTCTTGGCCTGTCCAGGAACCCCAGAGAGTGGACACGTCGTGGCAACAGCTGCTCTCCCCAAACCGCGCCCCCCGCAGGGCAGGGCTCAGGGAATGGGCTCATGAGGATAGTCTCAGCTGGTAATTCTACCCCCTCCACCCAGGACAAGCTGCTGGGTTCTCCCGCACGGGGAGGAAGCTGCAGTGGGAAAGCTCAGGGGCGACCGACCTTAACAGTGCTGTCCACAGCGCCAGAGAAGAGGCGGCCCCTGGAGACCGCGAGCGCCGTCACACTGCCCTGGTGCCGCAGCAGCGTCTGAGTGCAAATCATGTTGTCCATGCTCCACACCTGGAAGCACATGCCAGGATGGGTGAATGTGAAGCCGGGGACCGCAGAATGGCCTGTCTTCCCAGGCACCAAGGGGGCTCAGAGGAGAGGGTTCTGGCCACGAAGGGAAGGAAACAACCTGGGGGTGCGAACGACCCGGAGAATTCTCCACCCCCAGCCTAGAGGCCTCCCTTGCCCTTCGGTGACCTGTGGTACTCTCCCAGGGACTCGGGTTAGTTATGGGAGCCGGGCCTGGGGCACTGAACTGAGACAGTGTGTCTGTGCGTCACCATGTCCCAGCTGTCTGGGTATGGACATGGTCCCAGCACCACATCATCTGCCTCCCTCTCACTCTTTCAGTTCAGCGGCACAGTGCCCCACAGCTGGGTACTAACCCCAGCTCTCCCGAGTCCCAGGCCAGAGCCAGACTAGGCCATACTGAACAGGTTCTGTGCGGCTCTGCACTGTGGCATCACTAGTCACTGTCATCGGGAACAGCAGCGCTCTGCAGCCTTGTTTGGGGGTTTTCCAAACATTAAGACACTGCAGCTGCTCCCATCACACAGGTGCCGCACCTAGCCCCGTTTTACAGCTGAAGGGCCTGAGGAACACACAGCGGAGTGGCCCAAGACCCCTCACTCCCAGTCCCCTCCTTACCTGACACTGAGAGCCTAAAAGCAAAGGAGTGCTATAAGACCCACGGGCTGCAGGTGGAGAGGGAAGGGTGTGAGGTCTACATGGGGACTAGCCTCCCAACGCTGCTTCCCCCTCAGCCACGCGAGCTGCACCTCAGGAGACTCTCCCCTGGCTAGGCAAGGCCACGGCAGCACGTACCCTAAGAGAGCGATCGTACGACGCGCTGAAGACTTTGGTTTGGTCCGGTGTGGAGATGACGGCCAGGGCATACACCGTCCCCACGTGCCCGGTCAGCGTGCGCACCTGCTCCTTAGACTCGATATCCCAGACCTGAGCGAGGAGAATAGGAGAGAGACGGCTCAGCGTGACGAGGCACCGCAGCCAGCGGACAAGGGTGCAGAGCAGGAGAAAGCTAGGCCAGCGTCCGGGATTACAGGCACCAGAACTGCACTCAGAGACGGTAACAGCATCCTCTGACTGCCTGGCACCCCCAGCACCGAGAGGGTGGGTCTCAGGCCAGCCCCTAGGGAATGGGAAAGCACATTGCCTGGATAGCCGCAATGAAGCCCATCTCTCATTCCCCAGGGAGGCTCCGTCAGCCCACTGGGCAGGAGGGAGGTGGGCCTGTTGGCACAGCAGATGCTGGGGATATCCTGGGCATGGCTAGCCATGCTGTGCCCCTGTTCTGCAGGGAGGGAGCGGCAGGGCTGCACTTCCTGCCCCGTCGCCAGACTCCGTGTTCTTACATGGATGAGGTTCTCGTAGGTGCCGCACACAATGTGATGGTTGGTCACGGCGATGGAGTACACGCTGCCTCCTGACGTCTGCAGCACATGGACACACTCCAGGTTCCGGATGTCCCAGATCTGAAACAGTCCCCGCCCAGGTCAGCGTCGCCCCAGTGCAGCAGCCCGGGCTCAAGAGGAACGCGCAAGCCGCAGAGCGGTACACTGGATTCCTCTCAGTGCGTAGCTGGAGGTGCCTTTCCAGACCGGCTGGAGGGCCCGTTGGGGCCAGTGGCTCTGAACCAGGCAGGGCCAATGGGTCAGCAACAGGTGGAAAGGCTCTTGGCCAAGTTCCTATTGAGGCATGAGCTGCACCACTCCCACAGCCAGCGTCTGACAGGCAGCAAAATACAGAGCTGGGCCCAGCAGAACCAGGCTCAAGCCTGGTTCTGTCCTAGGAAGGGAAGGGGAGGTGGCCCCAATGTCACAGGATGGGAGAGGGTGCTACAGCAGAGCCGGGCAGGAGCAGTGGGTGCCGGGCACAACGTACCCCAACTTTCTAACACAGTCCAGACACCAGCTGCTAAGTTAACAAGCAGGGACTGGGCCGGCAAAGACATGACTCTTACGGGAACCAAATGCAGATTGACGGTGTTTCTGCAGCCCAGACACTGCCCCTCTTCTCTTCTCGGCAGGAGTGTCAGTCAGGAGAATGGTCCATAATGTCCCAGCAGCTGGAGAAGGGCCACGGCTACCTGGCAGCGTTTGTCTCAGCTAATGCCAAACAGCAGCTGCAGCAGCGTGGACCTGCCAAACTCTGATATGACTGCAAAGCTGGGAACCTACCAGCCACAGTCGCCTGCGTAAGCTCCAATGTGCCAGTGACGTAACAGCTGTGAAAGCACGCCGCAGAGTGCTCCTGGCTGCCTTTGGTTTTGCCCAGACAGGAAGTTAGTGCTCTTGCATGCCATCAGCGTACTAACCTTGATTGTTTGGTAAGACCCACTGTACAGATAGTTTTGAGAAGCCACAAGTGCTCGCACCCAGTGATTGAGACCTGTCAATTCCTTTTTCAGCTTGAGTTCGGTGCCCACGATGTCCCAGACCTGTGGCAGGTGCACACACATACACAGGGATTGGAAAGGGACGCGATGGGTCAGCTTGCACACTGCTAAGCAGGGCCATTGTGGTCAGAAAGACCAGTCCAAATGGCTACGACTAACTCTGCAGGGCTGCTTCCTGCACGAAATCCACCTCTGTGCAGAGACAACACAAAGTCCCCAAAGAGAGTGGAAGTGGGGCCTTGATCCCATCCTGGCCCTTGCATGTAGGGGGAGAAGTGAGAGCGGCGGTGTCAGACACCCAAAACCAGAGGCACCTGAAATCACTGCTCCCTTGTGGCGATCTTGGCCCTGATCCCAGCCCCCTGCTGTAAGCACATGGTACACGAGCCCCCCGTATGGGTTTGTGTGTTTGCACAAGTACACACCAACTACACACTTGCCCCCAGCCTACGATTTTTAGGAGTCAACAGAAACAAACAAGGCTCTTCAGGCAGCTGCTCCAGAATCTGCTTGCAGCCTCGGCGGCAGGGAGCACTGGCCGTCCTTCCTAGTGTCTGCTCCCCCTAAGCTCACGCTGCAACGCTAACCAGGCCACGTGCCAACATATGCACACAAGGCCGAAAGAGCCTTTTCTTGCCGGCCAACTTGGCCCCAAATGGCCACCCAACCCCAGCAGGTGCCTTCTCAGCCCCCTACCTTAATGGCTTTAAGGGAGCCACTGAACAGCATGTTGTGTGAGGAGACCAAAGTGCAAACAGGATTGTCATGTGCTCGGATCGTGTTCACCTTCTGCAAGGTCTGAATATCCCAGACCTCAAAAAGGAAGACAAAATTGGTTAGGGATTGGCCTGCTCTGGAAACCCCCTGCAGTCTCCCCTCTCGCCTACCTGCCCTGGAAATACCCCCCAGCAGGAAAACACAGCAAGGGCAGTTGTCACACAGGAGCTATTCTGCTGGGTGGGTGATAGAGGGCAGCCGTGGCCAGAGGATCTAGGCCTCTCTTTACAGCCCCTCTCTGATGGGCGTAGGTTCGGCTGGAGGGCTCCTGCGTGGGACTCTCATCCCAGACACTAACACAGCCTCTTGCTAATCAGCCAGAAGAAGTGGTGAGCATTCAGTGGCTAGGGGCCACACTCCCAGCCCTGGCTGGCCACAGAAGCTGGAGGCCTGGTCCCTCGTGTGGCAGGCCAGAGCCTTCCCAGGAAGCCACTGCTGGATTAGAACTTGTTACTTATTCCAAGCTACGTATGGTCATCCCTGAGCCAGTCCAATGCCCGGGCCTCCCACTCCCTGCACTGGGGGGTCTAGTCAAGTCTAGGACACTTGAAAGACACAAACGCCCACCTTTTATTATTATAAAACCCAAACAAATTCATCCCTGGGATGGGGAAACCACACGCAAGGGATTCAGTTGTTCTCTCGCTCTCTCAGGCCATTCCCAGCCAAGAGGACATTTGAGGTGCTGCTTTTCACAGGCTATTGTGCTCTAGCAGCCAGGGGCCACCCTGTAACCTCCCACGTGCTGACTTGTAGCCAGGGCAGCCCCACATACTCACAATGATGGTGCAGTCAGCAGAGCCGCTGTAGAGCTTGTTCCTGTAACGTCACAAGAAAATGAAAGGGCGTCAGCAAGGGAGAGCCACCTGTGGGATTTCAGCTGTCCCTGGGGCTCTGCTCCCAGGACACAAAGGTCAGAAACAGGATTCTCGCACCTTTCAGACCCTCCTCACCCCACTTCTGCCTGCTCAGAGGAAAGGAGCCGGTGCGACACCCGCCACCCCCCAACAAAACACTAGGCTCATCATCTCCCAGACGGCAGGGCTGGTGCGGCTGTGGTGAGCGGGCGTTGGGACGAAGGGGCTTTTCACTCCGATGACCTGGCCCATTTGTCCCTCTGGCTTATTAAAAGGGGAGATCTGGGATTCTGGCCCCTCCAATCCACATGTGTGTAAAGGCCTGGTGCACGTGCTCAGGTCAGAATGAGGAAGGAAATTAACATCTTAGTCCCTCTTCTAATAATTCACTAATTAGGAGAGGCCAGAGGACAGACCACAAGTCTCTCGTCGCAATTCCCCATTTCCCCTGCCAGCGGCACAAAAATCATCCACTCCACTCACCCCTGAATGCAGAGAGCCAGGACAATTCCATCGTGGCCCTCCAAGGTCTTTTGGCACTTGTATGTAGTGCAGGTATCCCACACCTAACAGGAAAGACAAGTTAGCAGGAGATCACATGCCTGCACTAGAGAGCAGCTGGGGATCAGAGCAGGAAGTCAGCTGAGCCAGGAGAGCAGGGAAATCAGTCAGCTGTTTCCTGTGGCATCTGTGCACCCGTTTTCCTGTCTGACCGGCAGAGATGAGCACATCTAGGAAAGGAAATTTCGCAAGCAGGGTCACACTGAATTTCCAAGGGACACCAAACACTGAAATGCAGCCACAGCAGCTCCACAGCGCTAGGGCAGACAACAAACTTTCCTAAAAACCGTACTAAGAAAGTGCCAGGCAATTTCAGCTGATGGAATCAGGCAAACACACAGGTGGTGAGGGCTAGTCACTGCACAGCTAGCTTTCCCTGCTTCTTTTCTCATCACTCCCAGTGGTTGAGCATGAAGAATTTGTGTTCCCCATTATCATTCCTGCTGCATGGGGATTTCAGCTGCTGAGTATTACATGCTATTTGTACAAGTGACCTCAAAACCAACCCTACAGCAACAGCTTTCCACGCTGGGAGAGCAGGACACAGGCAGAGAGAAGAGGGAAGTTCCTGCTAACCAAGATTGGGCCTGCTTTTCTAGCCCGGCCTCCCCGCTTAGATACCCCACCATGCCTACATGCTGGCATTTGTGGCTCCAGCCAATGGAAACCAGGTTTAAAACCACATCCTTTATCTCAGAATTCAAAGTGTTGGGAGAAAAATGCAGACAAATGGAACACTAGGAGTTATGCTTTGCCAGCCTCAGATCTTTAAGCACTTGCCACTTCCCATGCACTAAGGCTTCCAATGCCCCTCGGCCACAGGTCGTTAAGAATTATTACTCCCAGCGTATGGATGGGTAAATGAGGCCCAGATAGATGACCCGGCCAATTGCCATTGGTGCTGAATACACACAGCATTCACTGATGTCAACAGGAGCAGAGAGAGCTCAGCTCCCCTGGGGAGAAAATCCAGCCAACAAGGCCTCAAGTGACTTGCCCCAGATCTGAGCGTCAGCGGCTCAAGCAGGATTGGAACCCAGAAGTCATGGCTCCCAGCCCTTAAATAAATAAACCAAAAAGAACCAAGATTAAACCACGACCGTCTCTGTTTGTGTAGGGTCTATAGGCACCCTGTTTTCTAATAATCAGTGAAATACACAATTCCCAGAGCTTTGCTGACATCCATCCATCAGTCAATCATTGTGACACTGGTGGCTGGCCAGGATAACGTTTGAAACTATTGTTTTGGTGGGACTGTCAGTTTGCTCTACTCAAAAGCAGGACAAGGGAAAGCAAACAATGTCTGTAAAATGGGCACATTTCGTAGGGAAAAGCTGGTTTGTTTTTCAGTGTCTAAAAGGGCTTTAGCCACCATGGAAAATAAAGGATTAGCAGCTAAAATGCTGAGATTGGGACAAGGTGTAAACATGAACAGCAGGAGCAAGATCAGGATCAGATTTTCATACGGAGCTCCAAAGCCTGTATTTCTCTCCCGAGATGAGACTCGGAGGTCTGGCATCTTCCTGCCGATAACTGAACAATGCTTCTGGCCCAGGTGTAGCTGGGAAGAGCCATTTCAGCTCCAACCTAGCGCTGGGCAGGTAAACTCAGAGCCCAGCGGAGGAGTGGGTGGTCCTGTCTAATGCATGCAAATGCTGGGAGGCTCTTACCTTAATGGTTTTGTCTGAGGAGCCACTGAAAAGCAAGTCTCCTATGGAGTAAACACACAGACACCAGACAGGGCCTTGGTGCCCGACAAAGGTCCCCTTGCATTTGAAGATCTGCTGAGGATCATACGCTGTGGAGTGAGAAGAGGCAGGAGAGGGTTAGGGGAATCATGATGCTAAGCCCCGCCAGCACAGAACCGGCCATGGAGCTCAGAGGGGAGGGCTCTACTGAGCCCTCTAGTGACAGACAATAGCTGGAGTGTTACACTAGCCTAAAATGCATTATGGGAAATACACTGAGTCAGCTGATGCTTTGCCAACACAACACGGTTACTGCTCCAAAAGGGATCTGCTGAGAAATCCTAACAATAAGCCTAACGTTCTGGGGCAAGCCGAGGGAGAGAGCATCAAGCGTGTACTCACATCCTAAGATGCCCATGTTGAGGCGGGCGTTGATGTGGGACAGTTCATCCTGAAAAACAAACCAAGCGGGGTTAGGAGCCGAGCAACTGAAATCAATCCAGAGTCCTGGAACTGGCAGGTGCTCCACTAGGCTTCCCACAGAGTCTGTGCCACTGCTTTAATACCTCCCCTACAAACGCTGAGAACTCAAGCCAGCATCCTCCTGACTGAGGACAGGAGCGCCTGGCACTGCCCACCCAGGGAGTTCGTTCTCTGGCCAGAGGAAAGTGGAGGTCTGGAAGCACCTTCCTTATAGCCATGCATGTTGTCTCTGCAGAGGTGAGCAGACATCTGCTTCCACACTCCTGTGGGTACAGGGCTCAGCCTGGGTCTTCCCGGGATCAGGGTATGGATATGGACACTCGTACACCTTTCAAAATGCATGATCCTTCCTCTTCCTAAAACCAACACCGGGCAGAGCCAGGCAGTCATGAGGAGCTACTCATTCTGCGGTGCTTTCAAAATCCACTTTACTTGAAAATATTGCAGGGGTGACTCGACAAAGTGCTCTGGGGCCCAGACCTTGCTATCTCCCATGGAGATGGCTGGCTCTGTGTCAGTCAGGGCTAGCGCTCTCTGTACTCAGCCATGGGGAGCACGCACAGAGCTGGGGTGTGTGCTGCTGGCGGGACGTGTCCCACCTGAACCCTGGCTGGAAGGTGATCCTATCAATGCCCTGAGAAGCGCCAGAAAGGGCTGCCAAGGGCCTGCTACATGCTAGTACTAGACGGTGATTGTGGCTCTGCACAATTCTCCTGCCAGTGGTAAGAGAGAACCGCGGTAAAGACCCAAAGAACCAGCCACGCTTGTGGCAGGCCCTGGGCCGATCCCTGGCTGCAAAGAAAGGCCCAGGAGTGCTAGAGTTCTGGGCAAAGCCCTGGCTACTTGCAACAAGTGTCCTGCTGGGCTGTCCACCGGGGCCAGATTCCAGCTGTGCTCTGGAGCCCTTTGCACCTGGCACACACAGGGATCCCTGCCTGGCTACGACAAAAACAAAACTGGGGGCGAACAGAGCCAATGCGGAGAGAATTGGATCTTGGCCATTTTGAAGCCCTAACCCGGGTCTCCCCCGCCCAAGAGAAGAGAAGCTTTACAGGTACATGCTGTTAACCCTTTCTTCACCAGAATCCCCTGCCAACCAGAACCACTGCTGAATACAATGGACAGGCTCCTCCACGCCACCCTGTATCCTGCAAAGGACTCACGTTTAGCATGGAGGCATCCCGGCGGAACTCCATCAGGTCCTCGCTCAGCTTGCTTTGGTTCTCATCCAGCACATCTAGGGCGACAGAATGGCAGGTCTGTCAACCCCAGGGCTGCCTGGCCAGGAAACTCACTCACTGTCACAGGGTATTTCCACAGATAATGGGTTGTTTGTGTTACATTTGTCATGACCCTGGAAATACTGCAGTTACCTTACTGAAGGCTGGGGTTGAACTAACAGAAATATAAACACACTGGTTAATTGGGCCCCGGGTCCAGGATTAAACCCCGACTCCCTTTTGTGTCTTTGGCTGACGTTCACTAACCAGCAGGAACATCACTTCTTTGTTCTGGGGTATAAGAAGCAAGGCTTGTAGATGTTTCTCTAGCTGAGCCTTTTTCGTACCCCTTTGGAGTTACTCCACGATGGGAAGGAATCTCCCAGGCCTGATTGTGCTGTGAGTATTTGGGCCAATGCTTACAATTGTGTTGCTGTTAGGATATATGTGTGTGTGTGTGTATATATATATATATATATATATGCCTGTACTGATATTTGGATGTAATTAAGACCCAGTGGCCGTTGGACTAATAAAGGAACACTTGTGTGGAAGCTGAGTCGTGGTAAACCTTAATAAGGGACTTTAAAATTCCCAAGGGAAATTATTTCCAGCTTAAGAACTGATGGATCAGGCCCCCACACTGCAGACCCAAGAAATCCAGGTAGCTCCGAAGATCAGCTGAATTTTGGTTGTTCAGCCAAAAGGAATCCCTGACCCTCCTGAGGTTTGCCCACAGCTAGTTTTCACTATGGTGTGAATGGAAAGTTTAAACACTTGACAAACATGACCACCTAGCTGTAAAGCCCTGAAGGAGGAGCCATGCCCTTGGCCTGGAGACTCACCAAACTTGAGCTCCAGGTTCTTCTCCAACTGGTCAATCTTCTCTGAGAGCTTGCCCAGCATTGAGCGCAGGAAGGCGATTTCTTGGTCCTTCTGAGCCATTGCCACCTGCATCTCATGGAAGCGGTCGTCTGTCTGCTGCAGGAACTCCTTCAGCCCCTCAAACTTACACATCTCCAAGTGAGTCTCATAGGTGTCTTGATTTCCTATGAACGTACACCTGGAGGGAAGGGGGAGAGATGAAGGCTGGAGTGAGGCTCTGTTGGGAGGGCCTAGTGCTCACTGACTCCTGGGCTGGGCATTTAGACAGCTACAGGGCGAACGCTCTTGCGCCCCACTCCCCTCTGGAGGGATCTCTGTGGTGCTGCAGGGCTTCCACTAAGGGCTGAGGTGCCCAAAGGCCAGTCATGGCTGCAGCCACCCCTCCCCTGTAACCACAGGAGAAGGCTGAGGCTGAGCTCTGCACCTGAGGAACTTGCCCAAGTAGGCTTTTGCGATCCGTCTCTCCAGGAAGTTGCAAGAACAAGCAGATCCCAGGCAGGATCCAAAGTATTATGTCAGTGCGCGTGCTCTGCGAAGGCCCTGTCCAGCTGCCGTTAAAGTCAAGGGGCAAGCTCCAGCTGGCAACGGGTGCTGGCTTGGGCCTCACGCATGCACCCAGGCTTCTGGCAAATTGCCGAGGCTGGTCTGTGCACTGCAACTGTTCTAGCAGATCCAAGCTCTGCAGTCATACATCAGGGGATGGCCCCATGATGGGGAGTCTCCTCACACAACAGCCACCTTCCAGCAGAGCAGTAGAATCTATTCCTCCACCTCTGGCACTGGGTCCTAGCCATGCCAGTGCCCTCAGGTCTTCTGTCCTGCAGGCCGGGCACTTCCCAGACGAGGAAACCTTCCTGTCCAGGGATTCCAGCACACAGAGCAGCGGCCTCAGCTGCACTTCCATTATCCTTGTATCAGTTCTGCCCTGGACAGATCCTGCCAGGCTCTCTAGCAGGCTCTCCTGCTGAAGTCTCCTCAGGACACTCCCGAACGGCCAGCAGTGGTCACACCTGAGCAGCGTGCGCTATGCTCGCCTGTGGGGGAGCTCAACGTGCTCCCTTCTGCAGACCTTCTTGGCCACGGAGAGTGAGGCCAAGCACCAGATTCGGTCTCAGGGCCCTGCCCAGCCCTGGGCAGAGCTGCCTCTAGCCCAAGGACCCGGTGTCTGAAAGGCCATCCAGAAATGGAGTCAAACCACCCCTAGCAGTGAGGGGCCCAGCCAGCTCTCCCAGTGCCAGTCCCCGGAGCCCCACGGCTTACCCGTATTTGGAATGAGGGCACTTTATGTGTTCGCACTCTTTGAGATGCGCCTCCAGGTTCATTTTCAAGAGAGGTGGGCAGCTGGGGTTATTGGGACAGCGAACTGGTCTGTAATCACAGCTGCTTTCGTGATCTCTGTGCACACCGGGAAAGGCACAAAGGAGAGAAAGTCACCAACATGCAGAGAGGATGGGAAATGATATGGCTTGACAGGGCCTGGAGCAAAGCAGCCCTTACGAGAACTCCGGCTAATCAAAACCTTCCCCATCTCTAGATACACACTTGTTCAGACGCTGGAAGCTATCTTTGAACCTCTGTTTAACCATACGGCTGTAATTGGTGGAGGATATACAGGCCACATATGTGGCCAGCACCAACTTCTCCAATTGCATCCGTCCTTCCACAGATGGCTGAAAGGGCAGCTGATCAACAGCACCCAACAGCTGAGGACATGAAGCAAATTAAATGCTGTTGGGGCAGGGGGCGGATTAGGGAGGCAGGATGGGAATTCCTCAAAAGGGAATCGAGGTAGGGTAGTGGGTTTAATGCCCCCATCTCTTGGAGATCCCGTGGTCCTTGTCACAGGTGGCCAGAGCCTCAGTTTTAGATCTCAGCTGAAAGGCATCACATTCAGCAGTACAACATCCCTGTGCAGGGCCGGTTGGGTCAGTTCTGACACCCGCTACTGCAACACAGCACCCCCTAGTGCCTCACTAAGACAGAGGCGAGGGCGTCCCCTCCTGCACCCACCCCATTCCCAGCAGCACAGGGCTGGACAGAAGGACCATGGGAGCAGAACTGTTGCAAGGAACCATATAACTTTGCAAACACAGAGCAATAAACCAGCAACAGAGGCCCCGCCCCGGAGAGTCCATCCTCTGGTCACAAGGCACTTACTTCCGGGCGCTCAGTTTAATGGTAAAGGGGCATCCGTGGGGGTCCACCTCGAAGGCAGCGGGCTTGCTGCTGGCGGCGGGCCGGCAGCCATATTTACAGTGAATGAACAACTCCCCTATCTGCTCGGCCACAGCAATATTGTTAACAACCACCGTCAGCTTGGCGTTGTCCACTGGGCACTTCTCTGAGAGGGAGTGGGGAGGGGAGAGAGAGGTGTTCGTTAAGACACTCCAAGTGCAGAGGGGCAGCTGGGCCTCAGAGGGCCAGTTTTCAATGGTGTTTGTGCAGGTTCTTTTCTCTAAGACCTCATCTATGCTGGGAGTTAGCCCTGACTTCAGCCCTCAGAGCCAGCTCCTGGAACAGCTGCATCAGTGCAAGCCTCTAATGTCCACAGGGGAAACCTCTAGTGTAGCCATTTGCACCAGTGCCGTTTCCTCAAGTGTCAAGCAGGCGTCGGCTGCATCAGTGCCACTCACGCAGCCTGGGGCATGGCTGGCTGTGATCACCACCTACCCCAGGCACGAGGGAGAGATCTGCAAAGAGCCCCAGGACCCCGGAGCACAAATCCCAGTTATTTGAGGGGCAAAGGGGGGAGTGCTGTTCCAAAGTCACTGAGTCAACAGAGCCGTAAACCCGACTGATTTGTGCTAGGCATCTTTCCCACCTCAGCTCCAGGCACCTCTCTGCTGTCTCAGTGGGCAGAGGTGGTGGGGTGGGGGTGGGAGGTTTCTTTTCTCTCTCTGTGTGCAGAGAATACAAACATCTGCACCTCAGCTCTGATGAAAAGGGAACAGATGCTTTTCCACACACTGCTCTGGTGCCTTTGTTCGCTGGACAGACCCCAGAGCAAAGAGCCAAAATCACACCTATGAAGCCTCCTGCTTCAGAGCCCTGGGGTGGGAAGGAGCGGACAAGGACAAGGCGAGGTTACAGGGAACAATCCGCAGAAAATTGGGGGGAGCCTTCTCACTTGAAAGCCAAACATCTTTAGGCAGAATGAGCTGCTGTTTACTCAACCCCTCGGGGAGCCTTCTCTGGACGAGGGGGAAAGCCCAGCAATCAGCATGGCTGGGCCTTGGGCTGGAACAGTGCCTTTCGTGTTCATGTGCCAAGCAAAGAGAAAGATGGGTTTTAATAGCATGGTGTGCAACAGAGAGAGGTGCTGGCTACTCCGTCTCAGCTGCCAAATGACTGAGAGCCTCTCCTAGCTTTCTGAACCGGAGTTTATTGAAGAAAAGAGGCTCAATTTTTGGACTGACTGGAAATCAGCGGCTGGAGGAGCTGGCATGAGCAGGGTGCCGGGAGGAAAGGAGACAAGTTGGGTGCGGTAATCTCTCTTACTGGACCAACTTCTGTGGTGAGAGACAAGCTTTTGAGCCACAGAAGTTAGTCCAGTAAAAGACAGAGAATCTCAGGAGGTCATCTAGTCCCACCCTCTGCTCAAAGCAGGACCAAGCCCCAATTTTTGCCCCCGATCTCTAAATGGCCCCCTCAAGGATTGAACTCACAACCCTGGGTTTAGCAGGCCAATGCTCAAACCACTGAGCTATCCCTCCCCCACCCATGACCTTACCCACCCTGCTTCTCTAATATCCTGGGACCAACACGGGTACAACACTACTGCATACAACAACAGGAGGAAAGGAGGCATTTACGACACCTGTGTCAAAACTCATGTCAATTATCCCTAGCAGAGGGGCTGAACAGAGCTCTAGTCTGTCACTGCTGGGGATCAAAAGCCAAACTACTTGGGTCATTTATTGTCCTGGAGATTATCCCCTCCACATTCCTGACCAGGACTTTGGAACACTTTGCTCCTAGGGAATCCACTCCAGCCTGCACTGACTCCAGTACGTGCTGCAGTGGGGTTTGGGAGCTCAGTGAGGATGCCAATGCTCACAGCCATGTACTTCCCCACTGAGCCCCAGGGCCTGGATCTGAGGAGCTACCAAAAGCCTGGGGCACAACAGGTCACATGGGGTGGGCTTGGGGGGGTCCATTCTAGACCCTAGCACACTTTAAGGCGGATGTGCTGCAGTTTCTCCAGGGGGATGAGAGGAACAGATTGCCAGGCTGAACGGCCCAGAGACACGGGAGGGAGCGGTGGGCACTGCACAAGGATGGTACGGTACTTACCAGATGTCAAGGCACATCTTCTGCAAAATGTGTGCTGTGGAGGCAAAGAGGAACAGCACTGTCAGACTCCCCACAATCAGACAAATAATCCTGGGGGGAGGGAGGGAAGGCTGCCAGAGCCCCGTGGATTGTGGGCCACAGCAGATATGCCCCCTGTTCTGTACCATAACATGCCCCTATGACCACCCAGACACATACCATGAGCAATGAAGCTGTTTGAAAACAGTCATATAGTTCAAGAAGCCAAAAAAACCCAACACCACCAGGGGCCTGATCCTCAGAGGTACTGAGCACCTGCAGTGAATCCAGTAGGACTTGCTCTGCACCTCTCTGGGCTGATTTCTCTAACCACAAAGACCAAGCCGGGTTTCCCTGCCACCCACCCCCATTATAATATGGAAATTACATAAGTAACGATTTATGAAAGAAGCATCCAAAGGTGAATAATACAATTTAGCCTTTTCCCCCCTGGACCATGCTACTTGGCAAATTGTCCGCATACAGTCCACCCACCCTGAGAGCTTTTAGGTCTGTCCAAAGCACAGCTGTGCAGATAGAAGAATGGAAAGGTGGCTTGTAACCAGCTATGTTAAATGCTTTATAAACTGGTAAACCACAGTATCTACATTTCTCCTCAGGCAACAGAAACCTGCAGTAACTAAGGCAACCGACTCACTCTCAGGCTAAAGCTAACAGGCAGAACAAGAGAAAGACGAACAGTGCAGCAGTTCACAGGATTCTAATCTGACTCTGCAGGTTCTCTGGAGTCTGCGACAAGGCCGCAACTTGGCAGCGTCACCTGAGAATTTGCAAGTTATTATTACAGCAATATGTTATCTGCAACTCTGCTGCGGCCTCCCTTTCCTGCCTCACACAGCTGCGTGCTCCCTCCAGAGCTGCCAAACAAGAGCAGCAAATGAAACTGGTTGGTTTCCTGCTGCTGAGGGTTATTTTCCATATTAACCAGTAAATCTCAGAGTCTACATGAAAGGTTGCTGGCTGGAACAGTCACACGGGTATTGTGTACAGAGAGGCAGGCTTTCTGGCTGGCTGAAAAGGAACAAGCTTCAAATAATGAGAGATAGCACCATTACCTTAACAATCATCCTGCCTTGTGCTTACCACAAAGACATATTCCTTTTGCAGGTGGCATAGAAGCAGGAATAATATACAGCTACTATTAAAATACTAATAAAATGGAGTATATAGAAGTAATTAATAATCCTTTGCGCTTCCACTGTGCCTTTCATCTGAGGGTCTTAGAAACTTTTAAAAGCATTAACTAAATTAAGCCTCACGCCACACTTAGTAGATAGGGAACAGTCTATCCATCACTAAAATGCAGCCACCTCTGGGGTGGAACGCAGCAGAATGCAGAAACGCTGCACACCAAAGCTCTTCAAGACTGGAAGTGAAGGGTTACAAACCCAACTGAAATAAGACTGGAACATGCAACATGAAAAGTGCCATGGGATCTGTAACCATGTTTAATCTCATTTGACAGACAGCACGGCTGGCAGCACAGCACCCCCTACCACCTCAGTGGGGGCACTGACTCAGAACAGACTCAGGTGACAAAGCCACCTACTAATCATCAACACCTTTCATGGAGCACCCTGGGTTTTCCTGGCAGGTCTCCCCTTATCTAAGCACAGACCCAGGTTGGCTTGCAAAATCTAATGGTCACCAATCGAGGCGGCATAGCTGCTAGCCACATTGTTAATTCACAAAGCCCATGGTGGTGATGTGGAAAGAGGATTTCCTTACCCCACAGGTTGTGATGACTGGATCTTTAAACACACTACAACACAACTGGCAGCAGAGTTTCACTGATGGCTGTTCGGCAAACACCAAGGGCTCCTGAATACAAAGAAAGACCAAGGGTGAAGTCAGGAGATTCTCTACAATTCAAATGCAACCATCTTCCCGCACTGCAGGGAGCGGAGAGTAAGGAAGCAGCTAGTACAGTAAGAGTTTTGAGGCCACGTCTACACTACAAAATTAAGTCAACCTAACTTAGGTTGGCATACAGATGCCGCAGTAATTACATCGCTCCTGGGTGTCTACACATTGTTCCTTGTGTTGGTGGTGCATGGCTTCCCCAGAAGAGCTTGTATCCACTGTACTGTCAGAGTGGGGCATTGTGAGGTGACTCCTGAAAGCCAGTAACAGTCGACGTAAGTAACGCAGTGTCTACACTGACAACGCATTGACATTGACTCTGTGCTGCTCGGGGAGGTGGAGTTATTAAGTCCGCATAGTGGGGCGGTTACATCAGTGGAGCGACGTTTCAGTGTAGACACTTCTGTAGTTCGGTCGGCGTAAACTGCCTTGCGTCGACCTAACTCTGTAGTGTAGACCAGGCCTCGGCCTGCTTCTGCGGCTGCGATGCCAAACACCACCAACGCAGCCCCAAGGCTACCACGGAGACAAGAGAACAAAGCTTCCTAACCAACAGCCAGGGCTGCCAGGACTCAACTTTCCTTATCTCCAGCTGAAGTTTAATTTCGATAGGCCAGCTTCTGGGGGCTGAGCCTAGAAATGGCCGGCGGCCCTTACCCACCACTCCATTCACTGGGAACCAGAGGTACTTGGCATCTGGCAATATCAGGGCCCTAATGGGGTCAGCTAGTTTAAATTGAAGTCAGTGGAGCTGTGCCCGTTTAGCCCAGCAGAGAATTTGGCTCCTAGTTTACAAGATTGGCTGAGTCCTTAGGAACTGCTCCGCTCGGCAGGATTACCTTGCCAAGTCATGGTCATACTGAAGCAACGAGTGAAGCTTAAACCTGCCGGGTAAAAAGGCCTCTGAATGATTGATTTGAAGCCTGGCATTCAAAAGTGATTTAGAAACAGGACGTACGTCCCCCTGTGTATCTGAGATGTCCTAAAGGAAAGATCTCTCTGCTTCATGCAATCCATGGGATTTTCTTCTGTCACTATGGGCCAGGAGCTCTGCTTTCGTTTTCCAGTTAGACTGGAAGCTCAGGGCTCAGAAGCAGTATTCCCTGGCTGTATGGAGCACACCCTTCGAGCTCAAAGCAGACCCAGGGGTAAGTCTTTATTAACATTTCAGATCAGTCACTCAAGATTCAATATATATCGCTCCAAGCCTGAACTCCCCATGGATTGTGGTAAGGATGAGTCACTCTCACATTTGCCGAACACTTGAACCAGACGTGGCCTGGCCTGGGGGACGTTTAAGTCTGGATGCAGTCTCTGTGACACAGGCTCGGCTCTTGTTAATGCTTTTAAGAGTAAGGCCCTGATCCTGTATGAAGCTCCAAACAGGTAGATCCCCATTCCCAAGTGGAGCTGCAGTGAAATCAATGGGACTGTGCATACAGCTAACTGCAGGACTGGGGCCTAAGACAGCGATGACCTACGGACACTGCCACCCGCAGACAGAATGATAACATAGACCTTTCCCCTCTGTAGCACCTTTCATCACAGCTAGGTTCTCCAAGCACTTCACAGATGTTAATCAGTGAAACCTCACTGCTCTCCAGTCAGGATTATCATCACCCCCATTTTATGACTGGGCAAACTAAGGCACAGGGAGATAAGGTGACTTGCCCAAGGTGACAGAGCAAGTCAGTGGCAGAGCTGGGATTGGAACCCAGGAGTCCTGACTGCCAATCTCCTGACCAACCCAACATTCCCTCCAAACGAGGGCTCTTCCATTTGAAGGCCATATGACACACTGCAGGTTACACAAAGAAGCTGTTTTGACATTGAATATCCTTGTTTTGCTTCTAAAGAAGACATCAAAATACCTACTGGTTCCTCCTCTTCCTCGTGGAGCGAGAACGTCGAGCGCAAGGACATGTTGGACTCAGAGTGTAACGAGCGAACGGAGATGGCAGAGTCAGAACGGCGTGGGGTGCTGATTGGAGGCTTCCACATTAAAGACAGAAAACAACCAAGTTATTACAAGTAACCCCACCTCTCCATGGAGCTTCCAACTCCCATCCTCCGTGCAACTTAGCGGTTCCAGGGGCTCTCATGCTCTGCCAAATTTTCCTGCACGCCAGATTGCTTGGCCTAGCCAAGTGTAAAACAGGACTGAAGTAATAGGTATCTAATCACCAACACAATATGGGTCACCTAACTCCCGCACCAGTCGTTCAGGCCCCACGTACACCAATACATTAAAATGCCACGGTTCCCTTGTGCAGTTACTTACTGTGTGTCCCTGCAGAGCAGGAGCTAAGAACGAATCCTTTGCAGAAAGCTTAGTAAATCTGCCCCCGAGACAGCTCCCATGCTCTGCAGTTTCTATAATCTCTGCAGTAGCACTTGTTGTTTCACTGCTATCTAGCTTCTGCCAAATTGCTTTGCGTAAGTGTGGAGACTTCCTCCAATTCAATTCAAGAACAGCCGGGCTTTGTTGCTTCCTGTTTGGGAGGGGAGAGCTAACTGGGCTTTGCATGCACCAATCAAGGAGGTTGCTCTGGCTGCAGGGCTCTTTGGGATTGGCTTTGCAGGGGATGTTGCCACTGGAATATTAACCATCAGCATGGCCCTTAGCATTTCCAATTCAGCCTTAAAGCAACAATGGAGGAAACTCTTCAGCCTAGCAAGGGGGAGGGCGAATGAACAGCCTCTAGTACATCCATTGCTGGGCATCTCGGTGCAAGAGTGATACTGACACACTGGAAAGACTTTGGAGAGGAGTAACAAAAACCTGCAGGGAGCAGGAGGGATGGACTGATGGAGAAAAGACTGAAAGTGTTATGCATGCAAACTAGGGAAATCTGGTCTAGGCGAAATTACTATAAAGCGGGTGCACAACGGGTTGAAAGACGGTTCTCAAAGAGCAGTTATCAGTGGTTAGCTGTCAGACTGCAAGGACCTATCTAGTGTGGTTCTCCCAGGGGTCTGTCACTATTCAACATTTTCATTAATGACTTGGATAATGAAGTGGAGAGTATGCTCATAAAATCTGCAGATGACACCAAGCTGGGAGGGGTTGCAAGCACTTTGGATAACAGGTTTAGAATTCAAAATGAGTGTTAATTTCAGACCAGTTCTCTGATTTGTAACAAGATAAAATTTAATAAAGACAAGTGCAAAGTACTACACTTAGGAAGGAAAAATCAACCGCACAACAACAAAATGGGGAATAACTGGTTAGGCAGTAGAACTGTGGAAGAGGATCTGGGGGTTATAGTGGATCACAAACTGCATGAGTCAACTATGTGATGCAGCTGTGAAAAAGGCTAATATTATTCTGGGATGTATTAACAGGAGTGTCATATGCAAGCCATGGGAGAGACTTGTCCTAGTCTACTTCACACTGGTGAGACCCCAGCTGCATATTGTGTCCAGTTCTGGACACCACTATTTAGGAAAGATGTGGTCAAATTGGAGAAAGTCCAGAAGAGAGCAACAAAAATGCTAAAAGTTTAGAAAACCTGATCTGTGAGGAAAATTAAAATAACTGGGAATGTTTAGTTTTGAGAAAAGACGACTGAGGGAGGACCTGATAATGGTCTTCAAATCTGGTAAGGGCTGTTATAAAGAATGATCGATTGCTCTCCCTGACAGGTAGTAACGGGCTTAATTTGCAGCAAGGAAAGCTATTAGGAAAACCTTTTAAACTTTCAGGGTAGTTAAGCTCTGGGCTTCCAAGGGAGGTTGTGGAATCCCCATCACTAGAGGTTTTTAAAAATAGGCTGGATAAACACTTGTCAGGGATGATTTAGGTTACTTGGTCCTGCCCCTGCACAGGGGGCTGGATTAGATGACCTCTCAAGGCCCCTTCCCTAGCTTGGCTCAACAATGACTGAGAAGGGACAAGCAGAGGTTGCACCAAAGGCTGATGCTACAAGCCCTTACTCACATGAGTAACCCCAACGAGCATTTTCACGTCCGGGTTTACAGGCTCAGGACCCAGGACAGACAGGAATGGGTTAAGAGGAGCCTTAACGAGTGCACGACTGGAAAATAAGTAGGAGAAAATCAGGGAACATCTCTGCTAGCAAGATGTAGCAGGCTGTAAAATGGGCTCCCCAAGGGAAGTGCAGGGAAAACCAAAGGCTTTGGGATTTTTGAAGTAAAGTGGCCAAGCCACACCACCGCGTACTGCAGGATGGGGCCAAGTCTGAACTGGACCAAAGAAGATGAGCAAGTAGGACCAACTGGTCTTCTGCTTTTACCGTCTCCAGAGCGTAATGACACGAGAATTCGAGTTTGTATCATTACTGCATCTGCTTAAAAGCCAAAGCTTAGAGTTCTTTTTAATAGAGTAGGCAAATGTATTGTTAGGTAAATATATAAACCCAACGCTGAGTAGTTCCAATGGGTTAAATCAGTTTTATGCACTCAGCCATGAATGTGCTACTGGTGGGAAGATAATAAAAAGTTATTAAACAAAGAAAGTCACTGCAGGAGCTTGACCTCAGTAGTCAGACAACACACGCTAGAAGGGGCAGTTCTGTCAACAATGCTACTCTGCATGTGTCTGAGATTTAGATAGGTGTAGCTAGAATATACCTGCACGGATTTACTGGGGGAAGGAGGGCACATGGGGTAATTAGGTAGGGAAATGAAGTTTTTGTAGCGGAAGATTCAGGGCTCGGTTCCGGGCGGCTCAGCAGTGGTGTAAATGGAAATGACAAGGAATCGATGAGTTAACTTAGAATTTTTGAAAGGAAAACGACAGTGAGCAAAATCGGATGTCTGGGGAGGTGACCCCCTCGAGGTAAATATCGCCCTCCGTTTTGCCGATACAAAAGCATGGAGGCAGCATGCTGCCACAGAGAGGAGACCTAGGCTTTATTCCCTGCTGCCCCAGCCGGGCAGGTTCCTCTTCCTCCCTTGCTCTTGGCTATTCAGATGTAAGCGCCTTGGGGCAGAAATGTCTTTCACTACATGTGTGAGCAGCACACAGCGCAATGGGCCGGGCTCCATGCAGCATCGAGCCGTTATTGCAATAAAACTAAAACAACTCAGGGCCCAGGGCGACAGAAGAGCTTCACGTGCCACACAAGGAGAACGTCTGTCTCCTGGATGCACATGGACACAGATCTACATGGAGCAAGGCTTTAATGAGCCAGCTAATGACCATTAGGGACTGCCTGGCCCAGGGGCTTGGTGACCAGCAGTGACGATTTGGCACATATTGGTTCTCCCAGGGCTTTGAGAGGGAAGAGGTCTGTTAGCAGAGGTGCTGTTTAGTCTCTCCCTCCTCCGCCAAGGCTGGGTTGTTTCACACCAGATCCTTCAAAATTCTGTCCATTCCATCTTCAGATAACGCAAGCGATGGGGCTTCCGTAACTTCCCTTGGTGGAGAATTAACAACCTAGTGCATTTCACAGGCATTATTCCGCCCCCAGGCACAACCCCGACCGAATAGAGTGGGAGCTGAGAATCCATATCCAAGGGCAGAAACAGGCCCACCATTGTCAAGCGTTTCCTCATACTCAGTGTTAGCCATTAGCATTTACACTAAGGCCACTTCACACTGTGCTGGGAAGACGGTACACTTCGCACACTGCTAGAGCAGCCATCGTGTAAATGAAAACCGGGCCCATAGCTTGTACCCTTGTACGTTCCCACAGGGCCCAACAAGGATAGGACCATGCTGTGTAGGTTTCCGAACAGCCTTTGGTCACCACCCAGTAGGGCAACCAGCAGCTTTCGCCCCGCATGAAGACAGCACTTGGCTACTTTTAGTTTCGTTACCAGCAATTAAAAGAAAAGTATCCTATTCCCAAGAGAGCTCGGATTTGCCTGCAGCTGCCTCTGCGATGGGTGACGAGACTCTGGCACCTTCTGGGGGAGGGAACGGAAGCTTTTCCCAAGGGTTAGCGAGAGTCAGTCTGGGATTTCAGGCAGTCATGGCTTCGCAGTTCTCCTTGTCCAGAGCTCTTCACCAACTGGGTGGCTTCCTGTGTTCGTTATGATTATTGCTATTTTTGCTGACTGATGTGTAGCACTGTAGGGAAGACGCGTTGCACATTTTGGAGGGGACAGCTCTTACACGAGATCTGTTTTGTTTTCGATTGGCGTTTGGAGCCCTACATGCAAGGGGACCTAGGTCTCTAACTTAGTCTCCTCTGAAAATCCCAGCTGGAATCTTTTTCCTCTGTCTATATTGTTAGGGTTTTAAAGCACTAGATGTTAGAGGAATGCGTCAAATCAAAGCTTGGAACATAGGATTCAAGAGCAGGGCAGTGTAGCAGGCGTAATGGACCAGATCCAGGGAGCCAATGGAGCTATACAGATTTAACCCAGATGAGGATCTGGCCTCATATTAATAACAATTCTCTTATGTGTTTTTTTTAACTGAATGACAAGAGGGTGTGGAGGTTTTCACAAAAGCATCACAGCCCTTGACACAACAATTTAGGGGAAAGTTTAGGGGCCTGATCTTGCAAATTGCTGAGCAGTCTGGCCCTGATCCAGCTCAACATTGAAGCACATGCTTAACTGTAAGGGATTACTCTCATGCTCAAAGTTAAGCATGTGCTTTACACTTTGGGGGAACAGCACCAGCAAACGATCAAGCCCTACATCCCTCCCATAACTATGTGCATTGAAATTAAGAATCATAAAATCGCAGGACTGGCAGGGACCTCAAGAGGTCATCTAGCCCAGTCCTCTGCACTCATGGCAGGACTAAGCATTATCAAAGTCTGACAAAATCTACTCAGACTAAGGTGGGTGTTTTATTTGTTTGTTTCAAAAAGCCCTCAGTCTAAGTTAGATTTAACTGCCCCGTAACCACACTGCTCTCAAACCCTGTGCTAACACCTGATCCTTGAGGAGGGAAGTTACTCAGAGATGTGTGTGTGATGAATCAGTTAGCCAGATACAAACAAAAAGGTCTCCTTTTGCGAGGCTATCTGGAGACTCGGGAACGTTTTGCTTTAAGAACTTCACACTGGGTCATCCGTGGCTGGGGTAAAACCCACTGGCTCCAGTGGATGGGGTGAATATGAAGCACAGCCCTTCGGCACAATCACGGCCTGTCTAGCTCGGATTCTGGTTCCAGATTTTCATTCTCTGGTGAGGGGCCCCCTCTAGAGGTGCAAATAGGAAAAGATTCTGTGGAAGTAGCTACTTATCTAACTGTGGCGGCTGGCGCTGCTGAAAAGGGGCCTGGTTCAGACCGGCAGGCCGCAACTGTGACCCCAAACCCTTCGAAAAACAGTTTTGTTTCAAGCCCTTCTCCACCCTGGGTAACAAGTGACACTTGGGGCAGAATGTTCCCGCACAGGGAGCTGCTGCATGGGCACAAGTAGACCTGTGGGCTTTGCAGCTGGTCTGCCTGGACATTCAGCGGGCAAAACTCTGGCACCTGCTTTTGAAAATGAGGCCCATCACCTCCAAAGCTAAGGCTGCAGTCTGAAGAGTCCCACGCATACATCTCACCCCAGCTACAAACTGCTAGAGCCTGACAGACACATGGCCTCGCGGTCTGAGCACCAGACAGGGGCAGCCACGAACGCGGAGGTCTAATCCCGACTGATATCGACCATCAGGGAGCACCGCCACCTCTCTGCCTGCCAAAGCGATACTCACCTGCCCTCCCACAGCTCCCTGTCACACCACTCTGTGTCTCCAGTAAACCGAGCAAAGACCAGACAGGTCTAGCTGTGCTACTGTCCTGTCCAGGAAATGCACATGCCCTGATCGAGACTTGCCTGGCAGAGCGCTCTCAAAAGGGATAATCAGACAATGCGCTCCCCTGCGAGTGGGATGAGAAAGGTCACTCCCGTGAAATACGTACCATGCCATCATCCTCGTCTCGCGGGGAGTAGGTGAGTGTGCTGGATGAGGATGGAGTCCTACGGTGCTGCTTAAAGGTATTGGTCCCGTCAGCTTTAAAGCAAAAGAAACATTTCAGGTTTTTCGCGGCACCTTTAAAGAGCAAGGGCTCTTGCGAACGGGGCTGCAAACTTAGGAGACGCAAAAGAAAAGGAATAGGGATTTCTCCTCTCTCCCCTGGAGGCCCCAGGAAGGGCAGCGCAATCAATACCTTATCACCAGTGCTTCCTTGAGGGGAGCTGGCCCAGCAAGAAAGAGAAACAGACATTCCGCTCGACCTATCAGCTTAAAATAGTCTGAAAAGCCTTAACATTTATCCTCTTGTAAATTGTTTATATCAGGGGAGGTCTGGATATTCCTTGGGCGCCAGGGAAGGCGGCTATACCCAGAGAGGAGATGTTCATATAAAGATCAGCTTGTTACGAATTTACACTAAGGTTGTAAATGTAACTACTCAAACGTCTGGAAATGTGACAGGTATAGCGGCAAGTGTAAAGTGTACTCCGCCCCTTTGTGAGTATGCATTGTGACGGGAGCGCTCCTTTTACTATGTCACTTGCGCCTGTAGGAGAGTCTTAGCTTTGCTAAAGCAAAAGCAATGTTGTCAAGGCAAGCAAAGCCACTGGTCCTCTGTGAGGTCCTATGTTCATGCCCTGCTCCTACCCTGTTTGGCTGGAGCCCTGTGAGGTGGGGTGTACTACCCCTTTAAGGGATAGTCTGGTGCTTACAGCCAAGACAGCGCGGGAGCAATCAAGGAGCACCCTGCCCCGCAGTGATGCTGGGCTATTTAAACAGGAAAAGGGAAGCTGAGCACTCAGGGGACCAGAAGTCATGTTGGATACTGTGGGTTGCAGGCCCCTGGACACCAGCCTGGCCTAGACTTTTGTTCGCTGATGGTAAGTTTGGTTGCTCTGTCTCAAGGCTCTGAGATAAGGGCCTTATGCCCTCCAGCAAGCTGCTCCTTCCCTGACTTGATGCCCAAGGAAAAGGGAGAAAGCCTGCCTGCTTCCCAGAGCAGTAAGAGAATTCTGTCAGCTGGGGTAGGTTTGAGGGTCTTCTTAAAGGGGACTTTTGGTTCGGGTGGTTGTGGACTCCCTTTCTTGGATCCTGTGCACTTTTTTTTTTTTTAAATGAAGAAAAAAGGGCATGGATTTATTTGTTCTTAAATGAGAAAAGTGAAGTCTCCCCTTGCTAAACTCAAAACAACTTGAGGGGATTTTGCTCAACCTGTCCAAAATAATTCACATTTGGGCAGAGAGCAAGATGGAAAGTATCTGCCCTAACAGCAAGCACTTGGGAGGTTCACAAGGAGGGGACCGTAACTGGAACAGGGGAGAGAACGGACACTGCTGTGCAGTCCTGGGCAGAGCAGGGGCTCCCCTGCAGCACCGTGAAGTATGACTGATTGGAAAGCATTTCCACGGACACTTATCTCTGTCCTGCCTGGTGATCAGAGCCCTAGAATAAGCTGGGCTGGGACCGCATGTGACTTGTTGCTTGTCCCTCAGCGAACGCACAGTGACTAGCTTTGGTTCACTTCAATCTGTGCAGCGAAGGAAGAATTCAATCAAAGTGGTAAGTTGCCCTTCCGGCAAGGCTGCAGTGCTCCAGGGCAGCGAGATGCTCACCTTTCGTGATGGTGGTCACAGCGGAATAGGCAGGCCCAAAAGTCGTTTCCATTCTCGTCTGAAAGGAAGGCAGAATTAATGTCACCATGTGTCGACCTGTGGAACTCCTTGCCTGAGGAGGCTGTGAAGGCTAGGACTATAACAGGGTTTAAAAGAGAACTGGATAAATTCATGGAGGTTAAGTCCATTAATGGCTATTAGCCAGGATGGGTAAGGAATGGTGTCCCTAGCCTCTGTTTGTCAGAGGGTGGAGATGGATGGCAGGAGAGAGATCACTTGATCGTTACCTCTTAGGTTCACTCCCTCTGGGGTACCTGGCATTGGCCACTGTTGGAAGACAGGATACTGGGCTGGATGGACCTTTGGTCTGACCCAGTGTGGCCGTTCTTATGTTGATCTAGCACGGACTGGGGATTGCTACTCAGCCAAGGTTGATAAAATACACAAGAAGATTGCTAAGATTTTATTTGTGGAGATCGCAGCCCCAAGGGCCAAATTTTCATTCATCATCTTTATTTTGGCCAAACAAAGAGGAGGGCGTAAGAGGCCAGAAATACTTCTCCTCCCCCCCCCCCAATTTCTCGCCCCTGCTCTGCTCCTTACTCCGTTAGTGTTCTCAGACGTAGTGATGTTTGCTGCACCACTGGAGAAGCGATTGTAGCGAGCGCTCTTGTTTGAGCTCATAATCTAGGCCAGCATTTATTAGTCATGGGAAGTTTGCTCTGGAGGAAGAACAAAAAGTTGGAGGGTTGGTTATTTTTGCAGGGGCAGAGGAGATCAGAAGAACGTCCCTCCTAACCCACGAATCACCTTCTGACATTATACTGTCCACGCATGGCTACACTACATTCAGGCTTTCAAGAGCGTCTGCTGAACATGGGTCTCTAACTGAAGATGCCTTAAAGGAGTCCGAGATTTTTTCGGAGGGTGGAGGCTCAGCCCTTTCTCGAAACCAGGTCTCTTCAAAGGTGTCAAGTTGGTCACCCAAAAACTGAGAGGCCCAAAAGCATTGGCCATTTCTAAAAACGTAGTTTCAGTGCTTTAGGGGCAGACAGACAGCTCTGAACTCGGAACTCTGCCCTGGTGAGACAGCATCCCACCATCAACAATACACAGGAGTCTCTTTAAAGTGTAAGATACACGATGCAGCACAGCTCACTCGTGACTGAGAAGAGGTGCTCTCTCTGCAGGGATTAGTTATTGTTCTCTTCCCTTCCTGGTCCTCTCTTCTTCCACAGTTCCATTAGCCCTCTTTCTCTCCCGGCTCTCTCCCTCCTTCCCAACCGACACCCACTTGCTACTCTCCCCTAATGCAGATCCTTTGCCGCTTTCCCCTTCTCTCCCCCAGCCTCTACCCTACACATGTAGCTATCATGATGGGATGGTGTAACCTGAAATGGATCCCAAATAATTACCTGGTTATCCACAAGAGAATGGCACTCTGAGGAGTTTGAACAAGGCTGAGAGATCTAGACCAGTGGTTCTTAAACTTCTGTACTGGTGACCCCTTTCATACAGCAAGCCTGTAAGTGCGACCCCCCCGCGCCTTATGAATTAAAAACTCTTTTTTATATTTAACACTATTATAAATGCTGGAGTGAAGTGGGGTTTGGGGTGGAGGCTGACAGCTCATGACACCCCAGGTCATAACCTCACTATCCCCTTGGGGTCACGACCCCCAGTTTGAGAACCCCTGATTTAGAGCTACTTGGATAAATGGCTCGAGCATGAGAGAGAATTTTATTTTCCATTTCCCAAAATGCTTTCCAAGACTCTGTACAAACAGCGCCCCCGAAATGCAGCCACCTCTAGGGTGGAGAGTGGCAGCAAGTATATAGGAGGATGCACAACAGCAGAAGGGGAAATTTTGCCACAGGTACCAGGGCAAACCTGATCTTACAAAAGCAGTAGGGGGGCTTCTGCATCCCTAGAGAACAAGCAGGACCTCTGGCTTTAAAGCTACATCAGAAGGAGACTCTCACAGTGAAGCATACACACTGGGCTGAGCTGACCCTGCTCGGATTGGTCCCAGAGGGTCCACGTTCACTCTAACGTCGAGGCTTAGACCTCTGTGACACACTGGACCTTAAAGTAGTGCCCTGTAACCCCCACATTCATCATTCATACATGGTTGTGCTATTTCATGCAAAGCATGCCATGTAAGATATCAGAGGAAAGGTCATGATCTGCTGAAACCCATGGTTCTGTCAAAAATATGTATATCGGTCGTGAGCAAGAAGTCATGAGATTTTGCAGTATGGTTGTGAGTGAAATATGTTGTGAGTTTGGGAGTTGCCCGCTGCTAGTTCTCCAGTGACCATGACAAAGGAGGTGACCAACACTGGGGCAGGCGCAGAATGATCATCACCAGTCACTGACCAGCGGAGGAACAGTAAACAAGGGATTTACAATTCAACGGCAGTTATGCAAGCACCTCACCAGTGGGGATTGTTCAACTCAGTGACTCAGCATGGCCCACCAGGACATGTCTAGGCTAGTATTTTCCAGATACATGGACTGAGTGTATAAAATAAGGGACAGTGGCACCATGCGATTATCTTTCTCCTCCCTCACCTACAGTGAAAGCAACAAAAATACCGGGAAGGCAAAGACTTTGAACTGAGGAGACTGGTCCCAGGTGTAAATGGGAAGCCTGTGTATTAAGGACTGTAACCTACCTGCAACATCCAGTGGGATGAGAAAAACTACTTGATCCAAATACTGGTTAGTCAAATAAGGTTTAGGATTTAGACTGATTTAAGGGTGGCAATTTTACAGCAGAAAAGCTTCAAAAACAGACTCTAATGAGAAACTGCTGAGCTTGAATTAATATGCAAACTAGATCCTATTAACTTGGGTTTGAATAGAGGCTGGGTCATTACACATATTGAATCTATTTCCCCTAAGTTAAGTATCCTCACACCTTCTTGTCAACTGTCTAAATGGGCCATCTTGATTATCACGACAAAAGTTTTTTTCTCCTGCTGATAATAGCTCATCTTAACTAATTAGCCTCTCACAGTTTGTATGGCAACTTCCAACTTATCTGTATGTATGTATATATCTTCTTACTATATGTTCCATTCTATGCATCCGATGAAGTGGGCTGTAGCCCACGAAAGCTTATGCTCAAATAAATGTGTTAGTCTCTAAGGTGCCACAAGTACTCCTGTTCTTTTTACCTTTTATTGTCTTTGGTAACTATCTCTGACCTTTTATGCCTGCCACTTATAATAACTGAAAATCTTTCTGTAGCTAATACACTTATTGTAATGTTTTCTCTTAACC